AATTTTCTACAAATCAATGTTGGCAAGACGGAAATCATACTCAGTGGCTCCGGTCAACGTCTTCTATCCTGCGGTTCTGACCTCCTCAACCTCCCCGGCCTTTCCCTCAGACTTTCCAAATCAGTGGCGCAACCTTGGCATCAGGTTCAACCCACAGCTGACCTTCCTTCCCCACATCTGAAGACCTTCGTATTTGACTGTGCCTATGGTCACCCCCCACCCCCTCACCCCGGCTCAGCATCATGCTCCACCACTGTCAAACACTCCTCATGGGACGCTAGCCTTTGTGAGGGGTGCTATATACCACTCCTCATGGGACGCTAGCCTTTGTGAGGGGTGCTATATACCACTCCTCATGGGACGCTAGCCTTTGTGAGGGGTGCTACATAAATGCAAGTTTTTGTTGTTGCATTTATACTGAAGCAACTCTTTCATTTACACAGGAGTCAGTGATCAAGCAGGAAATTAGTATCAATAATAACAGCAATTTACATAGCGACCAAGTGCTCAGGCTGGCTCTGTATTACAGTATTTCCGCTTTCCTCTTTGTGAGGTCAGATCAAACACCTCAGATCACAACTAACAGCAGGCCAAAATCCAGGAGCTCATCCTCCCATAATACATTATTTTCTCGCCATAATGTAAACACAAGTGAATTTCAACAGAAGATCTTTCTGGCAGGCGCATATGCCAAGGAATAACTGATAAGCACAGAAACTACACTTCATCTTAGCCAAAAGACCAAGAAGCAATTGGGCTCGCCCAGTCAGAGAGGCAATCCGACACATGACTTCCTCGGTTGTTCACGAAGACAGGAATCATGTCTGTATCATTCTTTGATGATTTGGCGCCTAGAGAGTTTTGGGGAGGAAAAGGGTTGTCTGCGGGGACACCTTCAGCCCTTGAGAAATGTGTTTCAATCTAAACCAATTTACATTTATACAGTATCTATCACATCGGGAGAATGTCTCAAAGTGTTTCACAAATACAAATAAATTGTGGTGAGGGTGGGGTGGGTTTGAAGCAGGTCAATTGGCAAAGCAGAGGGAGTGACTGGGGGAAGTAAAGTCATAGGAGAACGCAGCTGAGTAAGCAGCAGTAATGTTCAAGATCTAGGCTGGTCTGAAAGACGAACGCTGATATATAATAAAAATAATCAATCCTTCCATTTGATATATATTCCATTTCCATAAAGAGGAAATTCAGAGCATTTATAAGTAGTGCCATGGGGTCTTTTATCCACCTGAAAGGCAGATGTGACCTCAGTTAAACGGGACCTCAGGACATCTGAAGACACACCTCCAGCAATGCATCCTACCCCAGCCCTCCATTGGAGTGGCAGCCTTGAACTCACAATCTTCTAACTCAGAGGTGAGTGCTGCCAACTGAGTCAGGTTGATATCTGTTCTGGAAAATAGAAAGGAAGTTCCTGAAGTATATGTAACCTGAGCAGCTGCAAGTATGAGAGAACATAAAATATGGAGATATTGAAAATAATTGTTTTTATTTAAATTTTCATTAATAATAATAATCTTGCATTTGATATAGTGCCTTCTCATGTCTTCGATATGTCTCAAAGCGCTTCACAGACTATACTGTAAATTGAATTGACTGTATATTTTGTGGACGAAACGCAGCAGCCGTATTACACACAGCAGTGTCCCACAAACAGTCATGGATTGAAGCGACTAATTTATTCTTATTTTTTTTAAGGAATTATTACCGCCAGAAAGGAAAAGGCAATTAAGGCAGTAATTGAAGTTTAATCGCTCATCCAAAATTATCTCACTTAAATATCAGTTGAATATCTTGCTTGCAGTCGAGTGTGCTGCATTTGTTTTCCTACATACCAGGAGTGCATGATACCGTACTTCAAAATAAATTTAAAGACACAGCACTTACAATTCTATTAGTAGTGGTGACCTAATGGAATTTTACCAGTAAGAAATAAGATTTACATGCTTTTGACACTTGTCCAAAAGATTATAATGAAATAATTTATTGGTATTTTCCTGATGGATCAATGAATTTGGCTGTTAAGATACCTCATCATACAGACCATGGCCATTGCAATTGGCTTCACTTGCCCCAAGCTTGGGAAGTTGAAAAGTTAGCCATGGATCCCATTCCCCATTGCACTCTTGTGACATATTAAACAGTCAGCGTGTACAGACACTGAATGAGTGCAGCATTAAAAGCAACTATGGTGCCTACTTCTTTAGGATCACATTTATAAAGACTACTTGGATATGATACATAAGGGTGGTCATGGAAATGTATCCCAGCATGAGCTCCCTCAGCTCCCCCCACTCAGTTGTATGCAGTTCTTTGAGACTTCATCTCGATGTAAAAGGCACGAGATAAATGTAATTCCTATAGTAGTTGCTACACCGAGAATATATATTTTTGAAATTGTTGAAAGGTCTGGATCTGATGAGGCTCTTTCTTAAGTTTCATATTGTTGTAATAGGTTTTCAATGCATTTTACTGTTTGTCACAGTCGAGATCAGATGGAATTATCAAACTAAAGTTTAATGTTTATTTAATCCTGAAATAGTTTTCAACTTTTGTCGAGGAGAAGGGATGAGCAACACACCTTTCTCATAACTCTCGATAAAACATCATTGGTTTGCTAAACAGTCCTGTTTTATTTATGTCAGCCTGCAGTAATCTGGTTGCTACTTATCTTTCAGTTAGAGTTACATATTATAGAATGGTCTCATGAACAGTGTCACTTTTAATGACATTCAATGGGTCATTGGTGAAGTAAACAGAATCGAGACAAATCTACTTCTCTGAAAAAAGACAAATGTCTATTTATCTTGATCTCGATTTGTATTATCTGAGGAAGCTACATATCCCTGTCAGATTACAGGACATTCCCTAAGAGGACAGCATCAAATGATCAGAGATTTACTGCTCTAATTTCTGGTGCGATTGAGAATTACTCTACTTCTTTACTACACTAATGGGGTATAATATTTGAGCCTTGTGCTAACCTTGTGTAACAACAACAACTTGGATTTATATAGACACCCTTATGGCGTCTCAGAGCGCTTCACAGTAAAGGATCCGGGGCCGAGCCAGTGGGAGGGGGAGGAAGGTGACCAAAGGCGTGTTCGACAAGATAGGTCTTCAGCCGAGACCTGAATGTGGGAAGAGAGGGGGCGAGGCGAAGGAGTAGGGAAGGGAGTTCCAGAGCCTCGGGGCGTAGTGGCTGAAGGCACAACCGCCGATGGTGGAGCGGAGGACTCAGAGGACAAGGAGGCCAATCCCAGTGGAGTGAAGGCAAACCCGGTCTAAAGGTTGCGGACAGAGATCTTTAGGTACCCTTAACTATGTAATTAACAACCAATGATTAAGATTACAGTTCACCTGTAAATCTTTTTATGTTTGTTGTTAATTGCTCAATATTCTGGCTATTTGAGTGCTCTGTACTTTCGAGATACTGTACTTTGGGTAACTAGTCAACACTGATAAGTAGTTGTTTGAGTGATTACCCTTGGAACTCAGTAGAATATTTTTCTCTTTTTTATCGACTGCTTCAGATTTTTTCAGCTCGTGATTGTAAATATTTACCAATATCTTTCTTGTTTTTTTTCCTCCTTTTGCAGCCCCAAAAAATGATACGGAGTTGAGGCTGTCCCAGAATCCACAGCAGAATCGAAAGCACCCTATTAAATCAGAAGGCCCCAGTTCCAACATCTTGTATAACCAATAATAATCCTTGCATTTGATGTAGCATCTTTCACGTCTTCGAGACTTCTCAAAGTGCTTCACAGAATATACTGTAAAGTGAATTGACTATATTTTTGTGGGCGAAACGTGGCAGCCAATTGTGCACAGCAGTGTCCCACAAACAGCTGTGGTTTGAGTGACCAAATTATTATTTTTGAAGGGATTCAATTTTAAATCTGGCAAACCATTATTAATAGCAGTTAATGCATGCAATTTTTCTAAAATGGTAATTAAAATGAAAAGTATGACTTGGTCTTACAGCCACAAGGACATATTTTCACACATTTAAAAAAAATTTCATACCCTCCCCAACTTGCACCAGTTTACAAGAGTCTAGACAGCTCCTGTTCCACGTAATCTCTCAGCACAAAAAAGCATTTTAGGTCATCATTGGAAAGCCCTGACGAGAGCATTTGCGAGGACCAACCAAAAGAATACATGTCATTTATCTCACTCTGCCTGACATATACAGTATCAGCAACTGGCACTGCGCCGCCTGCAGGTGCTTCTTGCAAATGCTCGTCACTCTAAAATAACATAAAATCAAAGAATTACAGGTCAGAAGGAGGCCATTCGGCCCATCGTGCCCGTGCCGGCTCTTTAAAGGAGCTACCCAAATGGATCCCACTCCCCCGCTCTGTCCCCATAGCCTTGCAACCTTGTCCTCCCCAAATATCCATCCACTTCACTCTTGAAAGTTGGTATCGAATCCGTTTCTGCCGCCCATTCAGACAACGCACTCCAGACCCGAACAGCTCGCTCTGCGGAAATAATTCTCCCCATCTCCCCTCTGGCTCTTTCGACAGCCGTCTTACGCCGGGCGTGCCCTGGCGCGCCGGAGGACACGACATAGGGGTCGGCCCCGAAATGTCTCAATTTCTGGCTCTTTGGCTGCGTATTTTTTTTTTAAGCGATCGCCAAATCGGGCCGACGACCTACAGCAAGCGACCGTTCTGCTCCTGCAAAAAAAAACTGCTGCAGTCTGTCTGTCTGTGTGTGTGTGTCTGTTGTCTGTCTGTGTGTCTGTGTGTGAGTGAGTGTGTCTGTCCTGGTTGGGTCATCACATGACCAGAGAGGGGAGAGAGAGAGTGATGTGATGTGAGTGAGCGCTCACGCGCATGCGCTTAGTGACCCGGGTGGGGAGGAGGAAGTCCAGGGAAACGCTGAAGCGCCCAAACGTATGCGCGCGCAAGTAACATGGGGTGGGGGGGGAGGAGGGCGGATCACGTGCTTCAGATCCGGCTCCGCCCCTTCCTTGTGGTCCTGGTGACGTGGCGCTTTGCGTACGTATTGTTGTTCCGCACGGAGTGGAGGGAACGAAAACAAACTGCGGCGAGAGAGAGAGAGAGAGAGTGAGTGAGTGCGCGCGACGGAATCATCAACCCCCGCCGCCCTGCAGAGCGCAACCGAGCAGGCGACGAGGAGCACGAGCGCAGCGGTGAGAGAACGCGAGCCCGGGGGGCGGGTGGGGCGCGAGGTGGCAGTTGGCGCGCGAGCCGGTTGCCCGTGACGAGGCGGCGAGGGGGGGGAGAGAGAGAGGCGCGAGAGCAACGGTCAGTATCACCGTTGGAACCCGTTCAACCGTCGCTCGCTCGCTCGCTCGCTCGGGCGGGCGGGTGGGGCGCGAGGGATGTACCCTGTTGTCGGGGCTTCATTTAAAACCAATATCAATTACAGTTCCTCTCTCTTCTCCCCCCCCCACCCCCCACCACCCACCACCGGCGCGAAAGGTAAAACACTTGTTAGCTTCTCCGGGGCTCTGGTTTGCCGGTCGGTCGGTCTGTTGTGCCGTGGTTTTAAGCGCCGCGAGACGCTTCCCCCGCCTGAGCGGCGCCAGACAAGTGCAAGTTGTTGTTGTTGTCGTCGTGGTCGTCGTCCGGGGATGTGCTGGGACGGCTGACGTGCCGTTGAGGTTGTTCGTTGCCTTGTTTCTTTCTGGTTCCCTCTTCTTGTTGTTCCTCCTGCTCCTCCTCCTCCTCCTCCTCACCACCAGTCCCGGCTGTCCGGGAGCCGGGCTTTGCTGAAGTCTTTGCTGAAGGTTTGGCAGCGGAGTCAGGAATGATCAGAAAACCTCTTCTGAATTGGTTTGAAAATGAGCGTTTTCAGCGTAAAGTCAAGACGGCCGACCGGCCGCGTTTCGCCCACAAAATATACAGTCAATCCACTTTGCAGTGTATTCCTGTGAAGCGCTTTGAGACGTCTCGAGGACGTGATGAGGCGCTATATCAAATGCAAAGATTATTATTATTATTATTATCATCACCAGAGGAAATCTGTGAATTACAGTCTGTAAAAAAAAAAAAAAAACTGTTTGGCGCTCTGAGGTACTGGCCCGTGCGAAGGACGCTGTTATGTAAATGCATGTTGCTGTTGTTGCAAATCCTGACTGTCCAACGCCTTGGGGTATTCTCCCGACGTGAAAGGCGCTCCATACAAACGTAACGTGTTGGCGTTGCTGTGCGCTCGTCGAGCGGTTGTTGAAAGTAGAGACCAAAAATGTCTGTCTGTCAGTTCGGTAAACAGGTTTCACACATTATAGCTCGCAGATTTCCTGATCAAACAGTCGATCTGACTTTATGCTGAACACCTGTATTTTCAAATCAGTTTAAAAGATGTTCCGATTTTTTTTCAGGGCAGGGAGGAAGCATTATGATTTATTTCACTTTATGTTGAAGCTGCTATAACACTCTTTAACTGACATATGAGATGAATAATTCGCACCAACCATTGAGATTGGTGTAACAAAAACAAGAGAGAGCTGGGAAAACTCAGCAGGTCAGGCAGCATCTATGGAGAAAGGAAAGTGAGTCAACGTTTCGGGTCCACAAACTTTTGTCAGAATTGAATTGAGATTGGTGTATTGACTAATCTTGTTAATTATCTCTCCATACAAATACTTTTGCAGACCTAAAAATGTTAAAGCCTGCGTAGTGTCAGGCCAGCTCAGTTGGTAGAACTTGGTGCCTTTGGATGAGAAAATTGAATTCAAGCCCCAAATTGCGGGACTTGGCTGACACTCCGACGTAGTGCTGGGGGAAAACTGCATTGCTCATCCTTCCGATGAGATCTTAAACCAACGTCCTGTCTCCAGCTCTCGTGGACTTCAAAGAACCAATAGCACCATTTGAAAAGAGAAGGAAGTTTCTTCCAGAGCGCTGGCCAACAATCTCCTGGTCATTCCTGTTCTGCTCGGTGTTGCTAGGTGTTTGTCGCAGCCAATCTGTGAGCAGATTGTCTGCTGTGTCCACCTATACACGTTACAGAAAAATCCTTGAAGCTATTTGAATCAGTTTGCTGTGAAAAAACACGGTATCAAATCCAAGGATTATTATGATATTAGCTTATTAATTTATGTTTGTGTTGGGTGCTATGTGACTTGTTGATTTTATTACTTTTGGGATGATTTTATACCTTTGGGTTGTTTTAATCCTTGTTTTTCCAAATTTCTTTTTAATAAAAACATTCAGTTTTATCCACATAAAGTACTTGCATTTTCTGAAATCAATTACTGGATAATTTAGAAGGAAATTAGACTTATTTCGTACCCCCTCCTCATTGTAAAGCATTAGGAGAGAAGTAACAACCCAATCATATTTGTACAAAGTAAAGGTTTCATGCAGTACCACCACTGTGTAAGAGGAAATAATAATAAAATCAGTTGCATGGGTAATAAGCTTAAATAGCATTGGAGAAAGTCATTCATTTTCATGTGCATTTAATTTCTCTATCAAAGCTAGATTCATAAATAGATCACCTAACATTTGCATATTATGCAGCTGTTTCAAGAAGCATTTGTGAGCCCAACAGACCTTCCTCTTTTTTTAAAAGAGATATACATTATGCAAATGTTTCCACTGCTTTGAGGTGATCTTTTAGACTTCATTTTCAGTGTGAATTATTAAAATCTAAATTAGCTTCCTCGAATTTCACAGTTGAGAAAGCCACTTTTAGCAACAATTACCTTTGAAGGGCTCTAAGATGCTGCAATGTTATAGGTGCTATATCAAAAGCAAGGATCATTATTATTATTTAGTATGAAACTGAGACTGAAATGTTCTCGGACTCAATCTGCGGTATATGCTGAATAGGCTGAGCTCAGCTGAAGGCAGTAATGGTGTCTTAGCACAATCATCATGTAAGAAAATCCTTAAGAAGAAGGATATCTGACATTGCAGAATTCAAAGGATTTCATCATCTCACCCTGATAACCACATCCAAAAGATGATTGCAAAGTGCAACCACCCTTGAAATAAAAATAAAAATGTTCTAATTTTTAAAATTGGGTGATTTTGTAATTTTAGCTTCAATATTGAAATATATCTATACTAAAAATAATAATCCTTGCAATTGATGTAGTGATTTTCACGTCAGGAGGGCATTTCAGAGCACTTCACAGTATTCAGTATAAAATGTAGTGATGTGTTGTAGGTGAGCACAGAAGCCAATTTAATTCTATGAGCAGGGGAGTGGTATTTGGATAGCTCTTTCAAAGAGCCAGCACAGGCACGATGGACCGAATGGTCTTTTTCTGTGCTGTAGAATTCTATGATTCCATGATTTGGACAGGGTATAACCCACAAATGGCCATGGAGTGAATGACCAATTTTATTCAGGAAATTTGGGGTTGGGAAACCAGGAAGAACTTGCTTTTCTTTTCGAATAGTGCCATGTGCTCTTCAACAGCTACTTGAGCAGATCAACAGTTTAACATCTGATCTGAAGGACACACCTCAGCCAATGCAACAAATACAAGCACTGCAATGAAGAGTCGAAGAGAAGAGGACCAACTGAGCCGTCTAAATGTCTGCATGCAAATACATTAATTACACTGTAACTGAAAAAAAATCTAGGTGTTTGGCATAAGGTTGCTGTTTCACTTTTTACTCTTTACTGTGTAACATTGCCCGCCTCCACCACCACCTCGTCTTACTTCTCCATCCATCCCACCGGCAACTGAGACCCTCATTTATGTTTTCATTACATCCAGCCTTATGTGAACGCCCTGCTCTTTGGATTTCCTAGCTCTTCACTAGACAAGCTGTGAACTATCCAAAACTGCATCCGATGTTTTCTCCTGCACTGGGTTCCGTGAGCCTATCGCCCCCATTATCACTCACCTACATTAACTCCCCATCCTCAAGTGGATCGAATTCAAAATTTTGGTTCTCATTTTCAAATCCCTCCACAGCCTTGCTTCACTTTACCTCTGCAACCTCTTCCAACTCTACCAATCTGGCGTTCCCTTTGCTTCATGCTCCTCGCCTTATCTGCTTGACTGATGCATTTCATATTGGCAGATGAACTTTTGACCATTCTACCCCAGCTCTCTGGAACTCCATCCGGAAGTCCTTCTGACTCCCCATGTGCAAAGCCCACTTCAAGACTTGCCTATTTGTCCCCTCTTTCAGTTATTCCCCTCCCTACCCGCTTCGGCTTCCAACCCCGACTCAGGAGCCCACCCAACAGTGTAAATCCCTTTGAGATGTCCTACCAACATGAATACCACTATGTAAATTGTATTGTGTAATACTAGATATCCTTAAGAGTAATCTATTGGAGTATGTGATAAGTATGTGTCATTAACGAAAAATCCTAATGTTATTTGAATGTGTGTGATTTTTCTTTTACTCAAGTAGATGATTTCACAGCTGTGATGTGTACTTTAACATTGAAGTTGTTCATACTAATAATAATCCTTGCAATCGATATAGAGCCTTATCATGTTGTTGAGTTGTCTGTAAGCGCTTCACAGGATTTTACTGTGAAGTGTAGTGACTATTTGTAGGCGAATGCGGGAGCCAATTGGCACACTTCATAGTGTGTTATGTAACTGAACCATTCTACAACTTTCATTTTATCAAAGTCTGTCTGGCACTCACCGACATGATATGATTTCTGACCACAGGAGGTGAAATCCATCAATTATGGTATAAAAGCTTTTCAGACTTTAATTCACATTAATACTGAAACCTGCAGGTGTTTTTTTTAAAAACCAGGGAGATTCCCTGTTATGAGATCCCAAGAGAGGTTCAAATGAAGAAGTAAGTGCCCTCTGCCCACTTGATGTCTTGCTTAACATTAGCTCTTTGCTTTTTTTTACTCTTTGCCTCTAATTCTCGGATAAAATATGTAGCTTTTAAAGTTTTACTATTTTGTGTCTTTAACCCATTCTTATGTGACTACATTACCCACTACTGATGTTAGGCTGACTAATCTATAGTTGTATGATTATAGTTATGTGGTTTATTCTTTTTTTCCTTCTTGAACAGAATGGTAAGAAATGGTAATTTTACAACCCTCCATTCTACTGAAAGATTGTGATTAGGGGCACATTATCTCTGTGTTCCTTCAGCATTCAAGGATATGCACCATCAACAACAACAACTTGCACTTATATAGCGGCATCCGTGCAGGGCAGTGACTCCTCAGGACTTGGTGACTTTTACATTTTGACATTTATCGAGTCATTCATCTGATGTTTGATCTGAAGCTCAAATTGATTTTTTTCCCTAAAACTTTGATGGAATTTTTCAACAAAATTCAATTTTTTAAGAATTTAAAAAAATGCAAATATAAATTATGTGCTTTGTTAGGGTATGTACTGTTTTATGCTTTATCTTTTCTTTATTATGTTACTTTGGCGATTAAAGGAACAATTTGGGTTAGATTTCGTCCATAGTTTTATTGACGTATGATGATTATTAACATGATGTATTTTATATTTCAAAAAGATAGGATGGATTTTTTAACAGTTTTGTTTATTTGCTTTCCCACATGGAATCATTGAATCTTACAGCATAGAATCCCACTTTCAAAGTTTGAAACAAAATCATATCCCACAGCTCCTCAGTGTCCTATATTTTACATACCTTTGTAACTTCATTTTTGAAAGTCTAGCTGCTAAACAGATACTGCATGAGGTCAAATTAATAAAATTTTTCAGGAAGTATATTTTTAATTGTAACAATTGAATTTTAATTGAAATAATCCAGCACGTTTTCAATAGTTCCATTGTAATGGTTTTTCTTTGTCTTAATTACCAGAGACCTTCTGGAGGAACGTCATTTTATCATGGGTGACGGTGGTTTTGATCCTTGTGAATGCATTTGCTCACATGAACATGCTATGAGAAGCCTGATCAACTTGGTAAATCATTATATTCTGTTATTAATTTTAATGTGAAGAAAAAGTTGATAAAATTTGAGGGAGGAAAACACAGTACAAATTATTTAGGACAATTTGTTTTTTTAAATCCTGCAGTATTTTGTGGAACAGTATTTTGTAGTATGTAGAACAGAAAAAAAAAATTGCTATATAATCCTTTGTGAGATAATAGTCTATTATCAACTGTTATACAAATGTTAACGTTGTGTATAATCTAGCTCATTTTCTTTTAATGTGTTCTTTGTTTCGCCCATTCTCCCACCAATGTTTTCCACTGTGTTCTTTAAATTGGGTGAATGGAGGATTGCAGGGGGAAAAAATACTTGTCCAACTGTCTGGACCAAAAACTTAATTAAGGCCCTAGTTCAGACAGTTGGACAAGTGGCAAACAATGGCAATGACAAATATTACTGTCCCATCATTATAGGAGTCTGCTGCTATGGGTGGGAATAATGCTGCTGCTTTTGCAAAACATTTTTTTGAGAATCCTAGAGTAGAATTGAAGCAAGCTTGTTCAGTGAGTTCAATAAATTTCAACTCCCAATTGAGGTTTAAATTTGAACTGGCTGAGATTTCAATATTGTACTTTCAGAGAGCCTTTCTTAGTGATAAATTTACATGCCTCCTTAAATGCTTTTTTGAAATATCTATACAAATAATCTTAACTTTCCATTCTGGTATTTCCTAGTATAAATCTAGTCTGTTAAATATGACTAGGTTTTAATAGGTGCAGGTTTGTAGTGATTTAAACACTTAGATTTTATTATACCAAATATCAGATTCACCTCAATACTATATAAATTGTTCTTCATAATGTGGGATTTGGGGCATCCTATCCTCCTTGGCCTGTGAACAACCAGAGAGGAGAAATCTGCTCCATTTTAAGAGAACAATGGACTAAACAAACCAACACCATGGTATTCATATGGTGAATACTATGGTTTTGGTTTAGGAGTATTAAGAGAAATTGATTTGTTCATACAAAACTCTGCATGAATTTAAAAAAAGCAGCTCACTGAGGAAGTAAGTGACTAGATCTCAAAGTCACTCATTGTGTGGGACACTTGACATATTATGGGGTGAAAAACAATTGTATCAAATGTTAGTATTTTATATTTTAGGTCTTAGTTTTTTTTATAATGTACTGGAATGTTTTAATTACTGGGTCCCAGTATAATTATAGTGTTTGCTTCACATTTGTGATGATCTAGGCTCAGCCTGCCTACCGGTTATGAATCTGGAAAAATAGAGAGAACCTTTGGAAAGCGATGATTGAAGGAGAGGGAAAGAACTTTTAGGTTCTGTTTCATATACAGTATCTGCAGCTGCATGGAAATGCAGTAGTGTTGCTGGTAACCATTCAATTTGTTTGATCTGTTCTGGTTAAGAGATGGTGCAGTGCTGGAAGGGGGAAGGAAAATGGGAAACAGAATGGAAAGTTCTAATATAAAAATATAATCAGATGGGAAAATATATATTTTTAAAAACTGGTAGGTGGGCTCAGGCTGGTAAAAGTGTGAGGCATATTGTCTGGCCATATTTTATATTTTTAGTATTACAAACAAACTGTATAGTTTAAGTACTAAGCTATGCAGCGCTCCCGTGATCCATTTTATTGAAAAGATTCCAAGGCATAGAGACCAGGAAGGTCCAAGATCTGCTGAATTATTTTTCTTAGCTCTTGCAGTACAAAGTTATTCCCCTCCTATTTCGTACTTGTTAGGATTATATGTTTCTTGCAGTTGAATGTTCAATAAAATATAACCTGCCTTTTTTTTAAAAAAAGCAATCATTTGTTTTGAACTCTAATCCCCTACTAATTTAGATCTCAGCCATGTGTCATTCAGAAGTTTGAGGGTTCAAATTTCATCTTAGGACTTTGAGCTCATACTCAAATTCCAATGGAGCTCTGTGGATGCACTGCACACTGCAATATTGCTTGTGCCGACTTTCAGATTAAACGTTAAATGAATATCCCACCTGCCTTTTCAGGTGGACATTAAAGATTCCATTGCACTATTCGAAAAAAGAAAGCCCAACAATTCCCCAGATTCAAATTTAGTCATTTACTTCTTGGCTGTTTTGTGGGACTCTGTTACGTGCAGTTTTCCATACTTGCCTTTGAAATACATAGTTAGTACACAGTAAATCATTTGAAGCACTTTGAGACCTTTCAAAGATATGTTGAGACACTATCAAATGCATTATCTTCATTTGTGGTAGTCCTGTACATGATGTTCAGCAGCATACTATTCAGGACAAAAAGTCAAACTGGAACAGCAGGTCCTGTTAATAATAGAATGAGCAACAATCCGTGTGATGCCAAGTTAACAAATCTGTTACAATTTACATTATATATTCATGTCAGGACAATATGTCAAAGGACTTCACATAGCTACTGGGAGCCTGAACTGGGGGTGGGATGAGGAAGACTAAACAGACTTAAATTTTCTTGAATGGACCTTTACATGATTGAATTCACTGATTGACTCCCATGAAAAATAATAAAATAAGCTAATATTAATAAATTACCTAATCAAAAAATTCACAATAGAATAATATCTATATATTCAATGTTGATTTGAGGGACTAGGATTTGCAGGGCTGCATTCCAACTAATTGATCACTTGGATGTACTGTTTATTACCTGGTCTATTGAAAACATTTGTGATCTATATCTGTGAACAAGGAAGTAAATCCTTAAGAATGCCCAACACACTTATGCAAGAATGCCTTGCATAAGTGTTACTGCTTTGCATAAGTGTTACTCAACAGTGATTTTAGAGGAAGACAGATTTGGAGGAAATAATTTCACTTCATGAAGATTGTTCTCTGACACTTTCCACATTATATACTATCCAGCATTCTTTTTAAGATGTTCATTTCCAGCAACAGTGGTTTGAACTACTAACTAGAAGATTCCAGAAACTTTCCTTAAACTTGTTGTACTAATCATGGCAGGGACAACAGAGTTACTCCACTTGCAGAACTCAGTCCTTTTACATCTGCAAAATCTTCTGAATTTGAAACTGAAAACTGACCTGCTGTTTTAGTCAATATCACCTGCCTCTGCCACTACCTTTAGATATCATCCTAGCTCAGTTGATAACACTCTTGCCTCTAAGTCAGAAGGTTGTGGGTTCAAGCCCCATACCAGGACTTTAAGCTCAGTCTTTTACTCAAGCTATATAATTCTGATCAAGCCACGCCTACAGTACTGCATACATTTCTGGTCAATGTGACATAAGGGAGCTGCCCAAACCATAGAGGCAGTGCAGAGGAGAGCAGTGAGAATGATGCCAAGTGTTGCTGAAATGAACAATAAGAAACAGTTAAGAAAACTAGAGCTCTTGAGAGAAGACATCTCAGGGGGGGCCATTATAGAGATGTTTAGAGTTTTAAATGGAATTGAAATGATAAACCCAGAACAATACTTTAAGATGCCAACAGAATGTGTACAATCTTCCAGACTGAGCCGTGCATCTTTCCATTTTCTTTTCGCTTAATACTATCTGGATTCCCAACAAGAAGAATGGCTGTTTAATGCAGTACCGGTGAATTTTTAAAAATAAATTGTTAAGAGTGCAGTCCTGCAAATCCTAGCCCCTTAATCAACACTGAAAATGTAGACATTATTCTATTACCAAAAATAAATTATACTTAAAAATTGGTCATGGAGAATTGCTGTATGCAAATTGGTGGTGCATCCACATTCCACAAAACATACAGTCACTGTGAAAGGGGCTATACCAAATGTAAGTATCATTTTTAGTAGCAACAGCTCCCTGTGAAACTGTACTCCAGCCATCATGCAAGGAAGGGGAAACTTTTGAGGTGAAAAACAAGATTAAAAATCATTGTTACTTTGATCAAAAAGCACAACTCAATCTTTAACTCAATTTTCCATTAAAATGTATTTTTAATGCTAATGGGAATAATATCTGCTTTGTTAAATTAGGTTTTGTGCTGATGTTTGTTTCTTGCTGGTGTGTAGCATCCAGAAATAATAGAAGTGGGCAGAACCCACGGGTATGTGAAATGTCAGATTTAAGAAGAAAACATTTAAATTGATTGTGGGAGGATTCTGAATTCAACACAAATGACTAATATATATACATACATTGTGTTTTTCAACATTCATAAATGTTGGATCAGCATAACCTTACATAAAGGTTCTCGTAATGTCAATTTCCTCAACGAATGAGGGTTTTCTTTTTGTTTTGAGAGTTAATGTGACACTCTGAAACGTGGCATTTGCCTTTCAGGAAGAACAAACATTGAGAGATTGTCAAAAGAAGCCGCAGTACTTGTTTTCTGACTGGCAGTTACACTTTTTAAAAATATTTTATGTATCAAAAATGCTATAAAGTACATGTCCACCAGAATTGGAAAAAAGTAACTTATACAAAGTAGTTATTTGATTGAGATCCTTTTGGGTACAAGGTTTTGTTGGGTCCAAAAACTTACTTAAATTGTACTTGCCAGAATACTTGCCTGTTGATGGCGGTAGGGTGGATATTTTGGAGGGGTGAGATCAGATGGGCCGAAGGACATTCTTCATTTGAACAAATCTTGTGAGACGGAGTCATGTTAGTATTTTTAAGAACACTGGAGAACGAGCTTCCAAATAAAGAATGAATTTAAGAATTTTCCATATTTTTAAATTATAAATTTTAAGATAAAATGGTCTTGCGGACTAAAACTGGAGGGAAATTTCCTCTTCATTGCCCAAAATGTAAAATTCTCCAATGTAAAAATCTTGCTCCATTCACAAAAAGAAAAGTATTGCAATAAATTGTATTTCATGAAACTGTTGCAAACGATTACAATGAGAAAGAAAGTTAGGAAGTAATTTAAATATCCTTAAAATAACTTGCGATTTACGAAAGCTTGTTTTTTTTTCCAGCTACGACAGTCACAGTCTTACTGCACAGACAATGAGTGTCTGCAAGAATGTAAGTCCTACTTTAATAATAAGAATGTAAGTCCTACTTCAGTAAGATCATGAAATGGTGGTGTGAACAAACAGCAATTGTACATATACAAGACCATGTATAAACTAGTTTCAAAGGTTCCCTGGCTGCCAGGTTGGTGATTCGGTTAAAGGTGATGTTCCATTTTATTTCACTTGTTACATTACTACAAATATGGTAATCTACAGAAGTAAGTCATATTTCAGATTGTTGAATAGATGAAAATATTTCTTATGAATTTTTTAAATTCTTAACCCAACATTACATTTCCTTTGATCAGCATTTTAACTGGTCTCTATTGATTTGGTCATTCTTCTCACTACTAGATGGATATTTAATAATAATCCCTGCATTTGATATAGCGCCTCATCACGTCTTTGAGACGTCTCAAAGCGCTTCACAGAATGTACTGCAAAATGAATTGACTATATTTTGTGGGTGAAACGTGGCAGCCAATTGCACACAGCAGTGTCCCACAATTAGTCATGGATTTAATGACCAAATTATTATTTTAAAAATTTTTTGAAGGGATTATTATCTCCACAAAAGCGATCTGCCAATCTACTAAGAACCGGGTTCCTACTTACTGCTAGGTAACCAAAGGCATATGGGGTAAGGAAACTTGCCTAACACTTTGCCCTGCCTGGAAATCGAACCCAGGTCCTCTCGCTTGCAAGGCGAGTGCTTCAACCAATACGCTACAGGTTCCATGTATATTTTGTGTGAGTGTGAAAAATCAGAACTGATCATTCATACTTGTGAAATAACACCACCCTCAGTGATTAAGAACAAGTTCAGTGATGCACTTTAGGTCCACTAAGTGCCACATCCAGGGAATAACTCAACAGTGAGTGAGTTTGAGGTTATTGCACTAATATTAAATACTATTACAGCTCTATTGTACCTCCAAGTTAAGAATTACGGAGGGGAGTGCTCTGGCTGAATGGACTACAGTTGGTTATATGAGATAATTATAGACGAGATTATATAGGATATTGATGCGCAGAACAGCTGCTGCTCAGGTTCCCCATTTGTAATTGGTGGAAGCATAGCTCAATTGATAGAGATGCTGTGGGTAGGAGGATGATGGCAATGCTCTTACCTGTTTCATGCTATGCGGCTCATCAGGAAGCGTCAAGAGAGTTCCTGGTACCTACTATCCAGCAAATGAGGACTCAAGCATGTGTTTTATTGAATGTTAAATGACCAAATAGTGACTATCCCCCTTGAGGGGGCAGGTAACAAGGACCTTCTTGGGATTGGGTAGCTCTGAGATGACGTGCTTAGGAACAAAATTGTAGCAATTGTCTGCCCTATGTTGACAGATTTCTGCGTGTTCACAGTTGTTCACATTCAATATATATTCAGTAATTGTTACGCTGAATAAGTGTATTAGCAAATTTGTTCTTCAATGAGGTCTGGTAAGTTTTTTATTGCTTGCACGTGATTTCTGTTAATAAACTACACATTGGTTTTATTTCTGAGAAAGCCTCTTGCCTTGGGCATGGTGAATGTCCTTAAGATTTCATTAAGTCAATCCACACAGTTCATCAAGCAAATCTCAGCACAAAATGGTAAAATTCATGGGAGTTACACCATTATACTCGTACGTACAAACTACAAGTGACAAGTGATTTTGCTTACCCAGTTTATAGTCTCCTTTTAAGAATGTATTTCAGCAAAGTAACTTGACAATTTGTCTTTCCCTTCCTAGTGCCAGGCCCAACTACCTCCCCTGATGGTGGAATGACAGTGTCCATGATTATGATGGCTTGGGCAGTCATTGCTCTGGTGCTGTTCCTGATGAGACCTGCTAGCCTGAGAGGATCTCCAAATGGGAAACCATCTGGGCCACGTAATGTAAGCTGTTTCAATTACAACTTTTTTTTTTTTGCAAATCTACTTTGTACCTGTTTTGTTCTGTTGCCCACTTCTGAATAGGACCAAATGTGCCCTCTTCTATAACCAAATCGATTATTGAGCAATACTTTTTTTAAAAAAATCGTATAAATATTGATTGAACCCATGATCTGGTATTTTTACACTTACCTTGCTCCTAGAAGAGCATATTTAATTCTCATACAATTGTAAACAAGTTTTTACAACAGAAAAGGCATAAAAAAAACTTCCAGTTCACAGTGTTCAGGCATAGAAGGCCTCCCGGTATTCCAGCAACTTCTGGACTGCTTTCTCTTTGCATGAGCAGCACAGTTTGGCAGTTAAATCAGCAACTTGCTGACCTGGTTGCCACACTACAGTGCTATCTATTATATTCTGAGGTCTGATATTATAGACCTAAACTGGCCAGTCCTGGCTTGGCACCTGAGGAAGGGCTGGGGGAGGGGAAAGGTGTGGTCAAAGAGAAAGGTTGTGAGACAGACCTTGAAAGAAGTGAGGGTGGGAGCAAGTTATAATTAAATTATAAATCCCCATTTATAATTAGGGTGGTTGGGATGCTTGGCTTACTTCCTCGTAGCTGAAGTGTTGTTTGTGAGCCAGTACATAATAATGGCATGAGGCAAATCTCCTTTTCCTTTTTTTCTCTCTCTTCCCTTATGTTCTATTGCCTAGACACTTTCAGTGACGATGGACAGTGTTTATGATGAACATAGCTTTGGTAGTTATTACCCTTATCGTCTTGGATGAGCCCTCCAGTTACACAATTCTGCTCACGATTCATTTTTTAAAATAATATTTGCCTTTATTCTTCAATTGGCTACAGCAACACCGTTTAAATCAATTGCCACCATAAGATTATTGGATGAAAATTAGCTAATATCTTCAATAAATTCAGTAGTATTTGCTTGACAACAGTAATATATTGTTGCTGTTAAAGTAAATGTTTATAATGGGAAGTGATTGCTACTAATAGATCTTTGTTATCTGCACACTGTAATGATGCAGAATTTTAAGCAACTAGCCTGTTGCACTTGTTCATTTCAGGAATTTTAGTGACCTTGTATAATTCCTGAATTTTTTGGGGGTAGGGTTATTAATTCACTGAAAGTTTACATAAAATGCTAATAATCTACATGTTGTCATAACTTCCCTCTGAGACATTTATGATTCCATTTGGTTTCAGTATTCTTTAAAACAATCAGTTGTACCAATATTTGTACTATAACTTCTATTGATAATCAGTTCATTTATTTCCTAGAATCCAAGACAAGAACCCCCAGCACCTCCTGTGGACTAAGCCTTACCAGCCAAAAAAGGCAACCGGGAATCCAGTTAACCAAAATGATGACTAACTGACTAACTCTCAAAAACTCTTGTTTACTGGTGTATGTTTTTCAAAGATATTTTGAACTTAAAGGAGCAATATTCTCTCAGTGGCATTCTTAATGGTTGAATAGTTTATTCTGTAGCCTTAAAATTATGAATTAAACGACATGTTTTTCAAAAACTATTCTGAAAAGCAACACTGGTGCTCCTGGAACTTCCACAGAATAGATGTTTTGACAGCCATCTTGAGCAAATGGGTTACTGCAGTCCTATGTTTCTCATAACAGAGCATTGTGCAAGGATAGGTGGGATAAGTTTATTGTCTCGTTTGTTACTGCACCCAACACTGGCAGGACCAGTTAAATAAAGGGTTCATTACCCTCAAAACTGAAAAATATTAATTAACTTTTATTTGTCAGTTTATAAAAATGATTTTTTTATTAACCAAACATATATGGCTTAGTGCTCCTTTATGTTGTTTGCAATAATTAGTTTGAAATAGTTGCTTTTTAGCACTTTTTGTAACCATTATATTTACAAACTTTTGGAACAGTAACTTCTTTTGCGATGCAGTACATTCCAAACACCCGGCAGTTTATGCAATATGTTTGATAGGAATTTTCTGTAAATACTGGATTGAGGTCAGTGTAACAAACTAGTGCCAACCTATGTTGGAAAGGTATTACATTTAGTGTCCTTCAAACTTGAGGATGATCTTGTGAGCTGAATACTCGCCACAATTGCAGTGCCAAATTGTTATGCAATGCAGATATGTGACATGACAGAAAAACACGGTAGCTCATTTTCAGGCTGCTTCTAAGGCAAGACACGCAAAAGGCACTCTAACCAAACGCTGGATTCAAGTGGCACAACCCCAGGATTCTAACTTATTCTTTCCCTTGTCCCATGGGTTTGAAGGTGATGCATTTTAGGACTATTCTGTGCTTTGTTCCCCGTAAAATGCTATCCTGCCTGGAGAGCGCTATATAAGTGCAAGTTGTTGTTGGTCTTTGCATGGAAAACAGTAAGACAGAATCCTTGCATAGGAAATGCCACTACTGCATTGCATCTACATAATCTGAGGAATCTCCATTTACCCTTACTCTGTGTTCTGACATTTATCTATTTAATCCATTATCCATGCCACCAATTTGACTTTATTACCATGTACCTTGATTTCCTTAAACAGTTTCTTGTAATGCACCTTATCAAATTCTTCTGAAATTCCCTAAATACTGCATTACACTCTTGACTTCCTCAAAACATTCAATTACAAGCTGCCATTAAAAAACAAATCTTTCCCTTTCATGTCAATTTCTGCGTTTCTCAGTATTCACAAATGAAATCCTGTCTCTTGAAGTTAACCAACAATTGTGGTAATAATTATCATATATTCCTCAGTTTATTCTCTTCCCCTTTTTCAAATGTGGATATAAAATTTACCACTTTCTACTCTGGTGTAATTCCCATCCCAAACATATGTTGAATACCAGCCAATGCATCTCTATCTCCTTCAGTATTCTGGGATGCATACCATACTGGCATAGCGACTACTATTTTAATGTTCATTAACATTTTAGTACCATCTCCCTTTTAATAGTTAGCTCCAGTTGATGTTCTTTAATATCTTTGCTTGGTATTCCTAGAATCCCACTTCCACATCTTCTAAAAACAAAAGCGAAGTACAGTACTTGCATCATTCCTTCATCCTTAACTACATGATTGCCCTCTTTGGCTGGACCCATCCCTTTCTTTGACCATACTCTAAGCAATATTAAAAACTTTTGCTATTGTTCTTTACGTTGACTGATAATCTTATGTAGCACTTTCTCTTAGCCTAATCTAACTTTTTGCTGCCCTATTAAATATTTTTGATTTTTTGCAGTTTTCTCCTCTATTCATGTGCTACTTTTTAAAACCTTGGGATAAATAGTCGTCCATTATTACAACCCTCTTAATACAGCCTCTCTAAATTGCCTGCAATCATCCTCTTTCTTTCTATTTAATGGTCCATAATGTGCTCCCAATACAGTAACAGATTCTTATTCATTCTAAATTTTGTACAAATTCAAGTTATTTCTGATGATATTGCAGTAAGAAATTGCATTAGGTTATGAAAGGAATTCTCTAGATTGAGTACAACAACAACTTGCATTTATATAGAATCCCTCACCCAGGAAAGCTTCCCAAAGCGCTTGGGAGTAAGTGAGGTTTAAGAGAGAGAACAAATTCAGTACTAATACTGACTGAAGGCTTGCTTGAATTAGGCATCCAAAAATGACGTCTGAAGTGACCTTTTTAGTTATTTCATAATGATTATTGTAACGGTTAACACAGCAACAGTGGAATGCAGTTTTATGGTTGTGTACATTCAAATTATAAATATATTTATAATCCTAACATTGAAATGGTTCAAAGCATTTCACAGGTAATGGTTGTCAAAGAAGTGACTGTATTTATAGGTAAATATGATAGCTAATTTGCAAATAGCAGGTGCACAAACTGCCAAGAAATAAATGACTAATTTATGTGGGGTGAATGGGGCCACAGAGAGAAGCTCCATTCTCTTTTTTTTACATAGTGCCCTGGGATCTTTAATGTCCACCTGAATGGGCAAAGCCTCAGTTTCATGTTTCATCCTTTGGATATTATCAATCCTAACTCTTATCCTAATATTTGGGGATGTGCAGTTAGGTGACACATTCAAACACCAACAGCTGATACTGTGGAATGATATTAAGTGGATTTGTACGAAGTAATGGATGTCCTTTCTGAGCTGTGGGAAAATGTTCTTTCGTTGCCAATTTTAGGTGCCTCTCTCTTGGACCTCCTAGTGGCGGGTTTAAAACTTGCCTTTGATTTTTTTTAAATGGAGGATTTTGTTACTTTGTTGGTTTTGCTGCTGTACCCTGCATTTTGACTTAATTCATCATAATTTGTGATTCTCACTTGTTTCTAGATATTTATTAGTTTTTTTCATTGAAGTACACTGAAGCTGTACTCGATCCATAGAACAAAATTGCTTTGCATATTGTATCTTTTGCAAAGAAGCCCAGTAGTCTTAATGATTTACAAAATCCTTTGCCACCTACTGTTCTTGCACTTGCTCAGGAGGCTCAGTGGGATGCTTTGCCCTGACATTTAACCTTGGAAAAAATAACTGACAGATCTTTTTTGCCAAAGCAAATGTGCCACCTGCCTTACTGATCAAATGTCACAATTGGGTTCTCCAGTCAAAAATGGAAATCTGACTGTCGAATGAGATCAATAAGCAAGTTAAGATCATTTTGGCATGATATTAAAAACATAGCTATAATTTCAAACTTGCATTTATACAGCGCCCCTCACGCAGAATATAGTGCCAGAGCCCTTGAGAAGTTGACCAGATATGTGATATACATTACAGTATAATCTTGATTTTTTTTGCCTAGTTCCACATGAACATTTATTTTACTGTCCCAACAACCTAAATTGCTTTCTCCTGAACTATGCCACATTACAGTTGATTTGGTTATTCCAATCTAAACTTGTACGCCAGGTTTGCTTTTTAATCTCTTTACTGGGCATTTCTGATTAAGCATAAGGTCTCAATCTAGCACTGAGATTAACTTTTTAATAGGTTTTGAAGTTTGTTGGTGTCTGTTACATTACTGATAATTTAAATAGGAATTATAAATTAAATATTTTTATGTATTTTATGTGTGGACTTTGCACAAATTGAAGGCATTTATTGCTCAAATAGGAAGAATGCAATCAACAATTTATCCAAACTTTTAAACAGACTCTGAAAAGCAACATAATTTTGTTAAAATTAATACTTGCGTTAAAATATTTGAGATTTAGATTTCTTATTTTAATTACCTTTTCAAAGTAGTTTCCTGTAAAACTCAAATCTAGTCTGAAGAATTTGCTCGTCTTTTTTGCTTTCCAGTAGGCACTTTATTCATTATTAAATACTTTACAGGTTTTTGCTGATGAAAGTTAATTTTTCTAGGTTACAAAAATTTAAATGATAGAGCAACTAACGTAGAGCTCTAGTATTTTTTAGTATGATTCTGTACCAAACTGAGGGGAATATTTCATTTATTTTACTCGCAGCATTAGTCCTTCATTTTATTAATGTAGAAATGACACAATATTCTAAAGGATGTTTGTGATATCATTATTTCTTATAATTTGATTTACTGTAAGGTGCCCTTAATTTAACTACTCCCACTAACTGCTAAATATAGTTCAGTGTCTCAATGCAAAGCAATATTCCCCTCCCCTTGTGTGCCTGAAAACAACCAGAGGTAGGCTACAGTATGACAGGAACATGCAAGTTCTATATGCTCAGCCCACCCAAATGTATAATGGTGCTCTGACCAAACAGCAGATGTGTCCTTTTTCAATTAATACATGGTTTAAATTGCTGAATATTTCTTAATCTCAGTCGTTCTACTATAGAGAGGTGTGTAATTAAAGGATAGGCACTTTAACACAGAAGGGGGGATAATTAGAGGATAAATAAGATAGTTTCCTCCTACAATCCAGTTTGAGCAGCAGTTAGCTACCCTCTTTCTCAGCTGGAGAAGTAAACTACCTTTGGGAGTGTTGTCCTAAAAAACGTTTGATAATTAGCTGTACAACTGTAATATTAGATCGATTCATTGCATCCTACAGAAGGCATACTGCTGTTTTGCTCAGATGGTGTGAATTAGATTTTTAAATGATTATATGCCAATATGCCAAAAAAAGAAACGCAGGGTTTACATGAATTTGTTGCTTCGCCCTTGATGACCTCTGCTAAATGTACTGTAATTAGTCCCTTTCAGGGAACTTGTAAAATCTTAAAAGAATTGTGGTTGGGAAGAGGGCTTTTGCTGTGCACTATGTTTAATATTAAAGGGTTATATGGTTATGAACTTGCAGCAAATTTTTGTGTTTCTTTGAAATGGTTTCTATGTAATACAAGCCTTAGAAATGATTGTTTCCAAATGAGTTCTGTATTCACTAGCAACTACACTATTATTCAACCCAAGAGTGACTTCTTCAGGCAATTGAGTAAGAGGAGAAATAGCTTGGCTAATAATACGGGTAGATGGAACTATTCAATGTCCTTTAAGAATTCAAACATAACTTTTGACCAGATAAGAGAATCACAGTAAAACCATTGCAGTCCCATGACCCCAAATCACATATGATAAAATCCATTTGACTCAAACGATTACTCCCAACAGGTGGCACATAATCAAACTACGAATCCTGTATTTTTACAATGATCCTTTATGCAATTAAGCAGTGTGGATATTCACTATCTCTGAAGCTGTTTTGAAATAATTATAATAATAATCCTTGCATTTGATATAACGCTTTTCACATCGGGAGGACGTCCCAAAGCGCTTCACAGCACACACTGTAAAGTGAATTGACTGTTTATTTGTGGGCGAACGCGGCAGCCAATTGCGCACAGCAATGTCCCACAAACAGTCGTAGATTGAAAATGACCAATTTATTATTGTTTTTGGTTTTGAAGGGATTATTATTAGGTGTGTGGAGTAAGGAAACTTTCCCAAGGTTTCGCTCTGTCTGGAATTGAACTCCGGTCTCTCGCTTGCAAAGCGAGTGCTCTAACCACTGAGCTACAGGACTCCACATTATTAGTCTGATGCCTTCAAGTAACATCCCCTTTGACTTTTAACATCACATTTGAAAAGAACATTTCCATTTAAACGATTCCAAAATCACAAATCATTTTCTAAGAAAACTTACTCTTGATGCCAAACCAATGAATTTCCAAGTATTCTTCTATCTGTGGAGTCCTGTAGCTTAGTGGTTAGAGCACTCACCTTGCAAGAGAGAGGACCTGGGTTCTATTTCCAGGCAGGGCAAAACCTTAGGCAAGTTTCCTTACCTGATACGCCTTTGCTTACCTAGCAGTAAGGAGGAAGTAACAATAATCCCTTCAAATCCAATGTTACTGCTCTCTTCCAGATAATGTTGATTACAGAAGAATGAACAGTGCTGCTTTCTGTACAATTCAGCAGCGTCAGGGAATGTCATAATCAGCACCGTTCTCATTGCTCTCATGCTCTTAAATCATTCTTCTGCAATCAACAATATGGAACGCCTCAAGGGTTGTTGACAAACCAGGTGGCTGGAAAGGGTTGTTAAACATTTAAAAGCCAAGGAATAAATTCTAACGATGCTCTGTTGGTGAAAGCAACACAAATTTCACAAGAGATATTCCCCATTATGTCAGCAAATGAGTGTACTTGCCTTCGAGAGATTCAGCTTAGTATAGACCTGTTTTATAAAAGGTTGGTTGCACAAACTGATTTTTCTTTTGTCTGGCACTTTGCCTGGAATGGGCTTGTGAGATGATTCACATGTTTGTGAAATATGAAAAGCAGATTGATTTAGTTCTGACTCAGTTCATCACCACCATTGAGTTAGGCATTGTCCTTAAACTGCTGTAATGCTATAGGTGCAAACAGTGGATGCTATGTATTTAATTGTGTGTGTGTGCATATGAAAGAGAATCAAATAAGGGAAATGCAAATAGCTGGAGATTTTTAATTTGCAATTTTATTTAACTTCAATAATTATTTTCAAGATGAGTTACATAATGATCAACAACAAATTGTGTTTATATAACACCCTTCAGGCAGAATTGCATCTTGGAGCACTGGAAACATGACAGCAATGATTAAAAATACAACTTTATTAATTATGTGCTTTTACACATTATTGGCTCTGAATGCTGGATTCACACCTGCACAATTAGAACCTTCTTGCTAAGTTTTTGTTAAATTCTTGCATTTGATCGAGCACATAAACACGTTAAAACACCTCAAAGTGCTTCACAGAATATATGTGTAGTGACTAATTGTAGCAAAATGCAGCAGCCAATGTGCACACAACCATGTCCCACAAACAAGTAGGAAATGGATAACCAATTTTATCTGGGGGATTGTTGTCAAAGACACCAGGAGAAACTGTGCCCATAGGATTTTTAACACTCACCTGAACGTGCAGATGGGGGTCTCAAGTTTAATGTCACCTAAATTGAAATGGCCATGCACAACCCAAACTGGAGCTCTCTCGTTCTGTTGCCTTGGCATTGTCTGAAAATATTTATTTGGGTTTATTTTCTCTATCCCATTAAGCATCTTGTATACCTCTATATACATGCACATAACTTGACATACCATCCCACCAGACTACTGCACACCATCACTTTTGGGAATAGTTCCAGTATGAAACACATTTGATAGACTGAATGGCACAATGAGCCTCAAAATACCTACGGTTGAATCTTAAGAGTAACGATGATCGGAGAGTGGAATCTTTCATTCATCTGTCTTTCTCTAGTCATTTTATGCACCCAATGCCTTTGGCGTGCTTCAAATGTAGGGATCTTTAAGTCATGATTTACTGATTTTCACAATAAATACCTGGATTTGTTTTGTGAGTCGATCATTAAAAACTGAATTTCTCTGAAGGGGACTTTTCTCAGCTTCTGGGATCAATCCACAACTGACATTACACAATTGGCTGCTGTGTTTTGCCCACAAAATATACAGTCAATTCACTTTACAGTATATTCTGTGAAGCGCTTTGAGGCATCTTAAACACGTGATAAGGCGCTACATTAAATGCAAGGATTATTATATGCATATATTTCAGTTCAAATCACAAATAAGCTCACCACAGCGCTGCACTTTAGTACCATACTTCAGGACAGTGTCTTGGCACTCGCTCCATATGTCACTGCTCGAATCCCTTGCTAGTGATCTGAGAGGAAAGGAACTGTTTGGAGGTGTGCTGTGAAAACATTTGTGATGACCTCTGACTATCGTGGAGTCCTGTAGCTCAGTGGTTAGAGCACTCACTTTGCAAGTGAGAGACCTGAGTTCAATTCCAGGCAGGTCAGGATGAAACCTTGGGCAAGTTTCCTTACTCCACACAGAGCCTAATAATAATCCCTCCAAAACAAAAACAATAATAAATTGGTCATTTTCAATCTACGACTGTTTGTGGGACATTGCTGTGCACAATTGGCTGCCGCGTTCGCCCACAAATATACAGTCAGTTCACTTTACAGTGTGTTCTGTGAAGCGCTTTGGGACGTCCTCCCGACGTGAAAAGCGCTATATCAAATGCAAGGATTATTATTATTTTATTATTATCTTTAACATACAGAGCCCTTCACACGGGTTAGCATCTTGGAGTGCTGCACAGTGGTGGGGTTGGACATCGAGCAAGGGAGGGAGAGGCGACCATAGGTACAGTGAAAAATACCTCAGTCTCAGTAAGTTTGGGAGCCCCCAAACTCCCCCTCAGCGCCTACGCTTTGCCCCCCCCCACTCCCTCCCTCTCCCCCCCACCTCCCCAGGGTCAGGGTCAGACTCCGCCAATACAGACCCCTAGATCTACCCCCCACCATGGTCTTCATCTTTAAAGTACATCTTTAACACGGTAAGAGCATGTAAAAGAAGTGGCAGATTTTTCCCAGTTTTATTTTTTTCCCGGAGTGGGCGTCAAATTATTGCCCCATTTTGGCCGTACGTAAAATGAGATCCCGGGGTCAAAAAAACAACAACATTTTTTGGAGGGATTTAAAAAAAACCTGCGACAATAATAATAATAATAATAATAATAATCCTTGCATTTGATATAGCACTTTAATGATGTTAAATGTAGAGCTCCTGTACATTTTGGAGGTGTTAAGATCGAACTGAGCTAATTGGGCTCCATGTGTCCCAGCCCCACAGCCTTGCACTGCTCTGGGTTGGATGAGAACTGTTGCTTTCACAGCTCAAGAGGACAGGCCCTGCCTGGATCCCCCGCACGTCACAGGGGTGGTTGTGCTGAAGGACCTCTTTGGTTCATTGCCATCTCAAATCTTAACCCTCCCACACGAGCTTCAGGTCAGAAAGCAGCCACTGCCAAAACCACACACACAGAGTGGGGGGAAAAAAAACAAGAGAGAAAGGAGGAAGAGATCGCAGGGCAGATGAATGCACCTTCTTGTTGTTGTTGTTGTTGTTGATCTCAATGAGGTGCAAACTGCAGATCAAAGTACAGCGTTGTGTGTTTTTTTTGGTGGTCACAAACTTCAGTCCTTCCCCTTTGGCTCTGTTCCACTTGATTTTTCTTTCGGATCCAAGTTTGACAGTATCTCCACACGTGAGTTGGTTGGTGTTTGACAATGTTCAATGTTCCGGTCGTGCAACGCACTCACTTACGCACTCACTCACTCACTCAAACTTACACCCACACTCACTCACTTACACACACACACACACACACTTACACCCACACTCTCTCATTTACACACACACACACAAACTTACACCCACACTCTCATTTACACACACACAAACTTACACCCACACTCACTCATTTACACACACACTTACACCCACACTCACTCATTTACACACACACACAAACTTACACTCACTCATTTACACACACACACTTACACCCACACTCACTCATTTACACACACACTTACACCCACACTCACTCATTTACACACACACTTACACCCACACTCACTCATTTACACACACACACAAACTTACACTCACTCATTTACACACACACACACAAACTTACACTCATTTACACACACACACACACACTTACACCCACACCCACTCATTTACACACACACACACACACACTTACACCCACAATCACTCATTTACACACACTCACTTACACACACTCACTCACCCACACTCACACACAAGGCTCTGCTCAGTGTCCTGGTTGCCTGGGCTGGGCTGAGCTGGGCTGGGCTGGGCTGAGCTGAGCTGGGCTGGGCTGCGCTGGGCTGGGCTGGGCTGAGCTGAGCTGAGCTGGGCTGGGCTGCGCTGGGTTAAGCACCGGCCCCTTTACTTGTGTTGTTCAGGCGCCTCCTCCAAGGTTGGGTTCAAGTGCGGAAATGCCAAGTCACATTTGATTTCTTCTGTGGAAGTGGGATGGGGGATGGGCAGCATTTTCAAGCCAGTTTTCCTTTAAAGTGTAAAACCTTTTGCCCCCCACTCCCTCCTCCTCCAAACAGAGCAGTTTATGAACAATCTTCTCTCCCAGCAGAAAAAGGGAAATGTTTTGAGGAAGTCCAACAGTTGCACTTAAGTAGCAATGCGAATGATCTCACTCTCAGAGTATGATGAGGACTTATTTGGTTTTTAAAAGGAAGTGAAAGTTTTTTTTTGAAAAAGTGGGCTGAACTCTTTCATTGGTTTAACGGAAAACTTGGATGAACGCGTTGTTGTTATTGTTGTTGTACTCGTTAAAATAGTTGCTGTAGATTTCTGTCACCGAGTTTGCTTTCTGTAAAGCAGTGATGTGTTGGGGTGTTTTTCCCTTCCAGTTTGCTTGGTCTCGTGTGAGTTTCTGACCAACAAAAAACACCACGTTGCACTCGCTGCACTTTGATCGCAAAAAAATAAAGACAAGGTGCATTTGTCTTCCCTGAGATCTCTCCCTCTTTTTTACTGCGTCTGATGTAACAGTGACTGATTTCTGACCTGAAGTTCCTGTGGGAGTGTCTGGACTTCAGCTGTGAAAGCAGCAGCTCACATCCCACTGACAACAGCACCAGAGTGTGTCTTACACCAGTGATCAATCTTCCAGTTCTGGTCAGTTATTCCACTTATGTGAATATGTGCGTGTGTGTGTGTAAATGAGTTGTGCTGTAAATTTGTAAAAAAGGGGAAATAATTAATGGCTGGGGTAAGATCATCATTGATTCATGTTCTGTCAAATGGACGATTAGTTTACACCTAACTTCTGGTTTGAATTAAGAGTGTATTAAAGTGTCTGAGGCTGTTGTGCATCAAAATGTACAGTACAGATGATACAGATTCAAATTGACAGGAATGGCTCCTGTTATCCCGTGCTTGTAAACAGATTAACAGCAGTGAAATAAATAGCCTGGTCATAGTGGAGTGACTGAGATAGGTAGGGAGTTGGGTTGCATTTCAAGACATTATCCTATATGAAAGGTGCTACGCAAGTATAAGGGTGTCTTTGTGGGCCCTTCTCATATGGAGGGGAGAGGACTTGTGGTGGAGAAATGAGATACGATGTGCAAGTTGTTGTTGTTGTTGTTGAGGTTCGTGATGCTGCAAAAATTTGTTTCTGATTGAAATACGGACCGAATCAGTCCCCTATTATTAATAATAATAAGCCTTGCATTTAATATAGCGCCTAGTTGAGACGCCTCAAAGCACTTCAAGTGGATTGACTGTGTGTTTTGTGGGCGAGATGCAGGAGCCAATTGCGCACTTAATAGTTACCTGTACTACAACGTTCGTTTATATACCGTGCCTCACACGGGGCAGCATCTCAGAGCGCCTAACAGTGCAGAGCCTGACACTAAGCCAGGCGTGGGGGAAGGGGGAGGTGACCATTAAAACACGGTCAAAGAGGAGGGAATATCTTTACGTACGTATAGCGCCTTTCACGTTGGGAGGACATCCCAAGATTTTATACTTTATATTTTATTCAATACTTAATACTTTATTCACAGCAATTTCCATCCTGACCTTTTTTTTTTCTCCAGTCAGCATGATTGAAATCAAGAAGATTTGCTGTATTGGTGCTGGATACGTAGGGGGTCCAACATGCAGTGTGATTGCACAGATGTGTCCTGAAATTTGTGTCACTGTCGTGGATATTAACGAAACAAGAATAAAGGCCTGGAATTCTGACAAGCTTCCTATCTACGAGGTACATCCAAGAGTTTGCGCCCTCTCTTTCATTAACCTCTTCAGCGCTGGCCTGTGGTGCACCTTTAAAATTGATTTTTTTTTCCCAGCCAGGGCTGAAGGAAGTAGTTGAATCTTGCAGAGGGAAGAATTTATTCTACTCGACTGACATTGACGGAGCCATTCGAGAAGCTGACTTAATATTCATTTCTGTAAGTCATTTTCATTTTCTGTTGCCTCGCAAAGGATTTGTATTCTCCTCTCCTGAATGCATGAAGCTCCCGAGACCAGAAATTCAACTGAGCCTTAGCCTGTAGGATCATTTTGCTTTAAATCGTAAATTTGTGCAGAATTGTGAAAAATTCTCCGCAGTTCTTAAACTGGCTCCTAAAATAAAGTGGGCTGTGATGAACTCCCACTGGGAGGGTGAGTCATGTGGGATAGTCACATCATTTGCATCTCCTAGCCGCTGGCTAAGAACAGCATTGTCAGAGGTGCAGCCTTGTGGCTTGGTATTGGCACGTGGTGAAGAGCAGAGGATCAAAATTAAGAAAAATGAATTCTTAACAAACATGTTCAACATTTGCAAAATATGAAATGTGGAAAAGAAAATGTTCATGGCCCCTAGCAGAGGTTCCACTGTTAGTCAGATCAAATTATTACTAATATCTCAGGATATAATATATAGTTTGGGACAAGACTTGTGCACGTGGCTGCCAGGATGGTGAAGGGCAAATTGGATGGACCTTGGTCTTCTTTCAACTTGCAAATTTTTATGTTCTTACATTCAAAGCTGAGACAATAAATCCCTGGTTACAGGAGGAATTCTGAGCATGTGTGTGTTCTTCGCTTTGTGACAGGTGAACACCCCCACGAAAACATATGGACTGGGCAAAGGCCGGGCTGCAGACTTGAAGTATATTGAATCCTGCGCTCGGAGGATAGTGGCAGTTTCCAATGGGTACAAAATAGTGACTGAGAAAAGCACAGTGCCTGTGCGAGCCGCCGAGAGCATCCGCAGGATATTCCACTCAAACGCAAAACCAAATCTAGAGCTACAGGTAACTGAAACATTGTTCCACTGGTTATTGAAATGCAAACTGATAATTCCACTGCTTAATTTTTATTATAACAGTTTAAATAATAATGATAATCTTGATATAGCGCCTTATCGCATCGTCAAAAGGTTTCAAAGTGCTTCATAGAATTTACTATAAAGTGCAGTGACCATGTATATATAGGCAAAATAACTGAATAATATGTCTAATGTTAAGGGAGATGCATAAATTACCCCAACATCTGCGTTAAACAATTTCAGACTCCTCAGAAATTTCTTTCAGTTGCTTTTCCCTTCTTAGCAATGAACTTGACTGATGCATGTTTACAATTTTTTTTAGTAACTGCATCCATCTGACATCTCATCTTCTTTTGTGGTAGGTGCTGTCAAACCCAGAATTCCTTTCTGAAGGGACTGCAGTTAAGGATCTGAAAAACCCAGACCGAGTGCTGATCGGGGGAGATGAGACCCCGGAGGGTCAGAAGGCTATCCAGGCTCTCTGCTCAGTGTACAAGCATTGGGTACCAAAGGACAGAATCATCACCACCAACACATGGTCCTCAGAACTTTCCAAACTGGTACAACTTCCAACATCAAACTTGGTTTAAGTGCCACACGTGTAATATTTCTATTTCACAGTTATTCCTCAGGTTGACAGCTCTTGTCTCGGTGTATCAGACACACTCCCTTTAGAACTCTGTCCCACATTCCCTTCACCTCATTTGCTCCCTTGCATCCTTCAAGGCACTTCTCAAAACCCTACATCCGCAGCTTCAGGCACCCAACTCCCCAGCTCGGGTCCAAATCCCTGTCTGTCCAGCGCCTTGGGATGTCCTCCCAACGTGAAAGGCGCTTTACAAACGTATATTTTATATTGTATCAGGATGTGACTGTTGCACTAGGGATTTAATAACCACACTCCCTATATTGTCTTCATTTGTGTAAGTGTGATGAAAATGTAAATGCATTTGTTTATTTTACGATCCTTCATTTGTGGAAAAAAAATGATCAGTGGAAAATATGATAGATATAAATGGTTTATCGGCCTAATTATTTCTCCCATTTCTGTTTATCATTAGGCTGCTAACGCTTTCCTTGCTCAGAGAATCAGCAGCATTAACTCGATCAGTGCTCTGTGTGAGGCCACTGGGGCAGATGTTGAGGAGGTGGCACGTGCGATAGGAATGGATCAGAGGATTGGGAGCAAATTTCTCAAAGCCAGTGTTGGTCAGTGACTTATTTTAGGAACAATTGTGCAGATTTATATTCATTGAAATAATTGGAGAGGCTGAAATATCTTCCGTCCAGATAATTCCAATTTACAGAACTTTGTTTTCATATTAGGATTTGGAGGGAGTTGCTTTCAGAAGGATGTCCTGAACCTGGTATATTTATGTGAAGCCTTAAACTTAACTGAAGTAGCTCAGTATTGGCAGCAGGTACGTGGATAAGATGTCACGGGGAATTTCTGTAACATGATCATTGTGCTGAATAACATTTTGTGTGTGTAAGGGCAAATTTACATGTTAAAACTTGCTGAAGAAGTCCTGATCTGTTAGTAAGTGGGATAAATTGTACATAGATCCAGATTTCTCAATTTAATGGGCGTTAATGGAAATGTTATGGTGGATTCTGTTTCTTGGAACAAGTATCCAGATTCTACTGCACTTGGAGGAAATTCAGCAAATAATTATCATCAATTATAATAAAGAGCGGCACTGAAATATCTATTTTGATTCTGAAACTTTGTCTAATAATCGTAGTCGAAAAATGAAGTACGCGTACAGTAAAAAAACTTTTTATTTTTAACTCTTCGGGAATATATACTGCATTAATTTGAAAAACTGACTGCTTCTAGCTTCTGGTTATTCTAACTAGCGTTCCACGAGCATTCCCTCAATCCACGACTATAACAATTGCACACTGCTGTTTCGCCCACAAAATGTACAGTCAATTCACTTTGCAGTATATTCTGTGAAATGCTTTGAGATGTATCAATGGCATGATAAGGCACTACAGCAGACTATCAGTCAGACATCAAGTCCTGGATGAGAGCAACTTTCTGCAGCTGAATGTCAACAAGACCAAGGTTTTCCTGATTGGTTTGCACCAGCGCCTCTGCACCTCAGGCGCTGACAGCATCACCATCCACGGATGCATATTCCACCTCATCAAGCCAGTCAGGAACCTGAGTGTCTTGTTCGATCCTCAACTGTCCTTTCTCCCCCATATCTGTGCCATAACCCGCTCTCTGCCTATAATAATCCTTGCATTTGATATAGCGCTTTTCACGTCGGGAGGACGTCCCAAAGCGCTTCACAGAACACACTGTAAAGTGAATTGACTGTATATTTGTGGGCGAACGCGGCAGCCAATTGCCCACAGCAATGTCCCACAAACAGTCATGGATTGAAAATGACCAATTTATTATTGTTTTATTTTTTTGGAGGGATTATTATTAGGCCTACCCCCACCTCCGCAACATTTCCCGACTCCACCATTGCCTCACCCCTCAGGCCACCGAGAACCTCATGCACACATTCGTCACCTCAAGGCTCGACTACACAAACTCCCTCAGCTCTTCCCTCCACAAGCAGATCATCCAGGACTCTGCAACTCTCACGCACCAGGCTGTGACCCCATCTTCCCCACCCTCACTTGGCTCCACTGGCTCCCCATCCCTCAGAGGATAGAGTTCAAAATCCCCGTCCTCACTTTCAAGGCCCTCTATGGCCTTGCCCCCTCCTACCTCTCTGACCTACTAACCCTCTATCAACCTGCCCACTCCCTCCATTCAGCAGGCTCGGGTTTGCTCCATGTCTCCCGCCCGATCCGCCCTACGATCGGTAAGCTTTCAGCCTCTCTGCCTCCACCCTTTCGAACTCCATCCCACAATACCTTTGTCTTGCTCCCTCTCTTGCCTCCTTCAAGACCCTCCTTTTTGACCGTGCCTTCAGCCCCCTTCCTACCCCCTCTGCCCTCCCTCATCCCACACTGCGCCCCCTCCCCCTCCCACCCCCCCCCACGCTCAGGTCCTGATCCCTGATTATTCAGGGTCTTGGGACGTCCTCCCGACATGAAAGGCGAAAGGTGTTTTTGTTGTTATATCAAATATTATTATGATTATATTATTATTATAACACACTTATATGATTTTTGTTTTAGGTGATTGACATAAACAACTATCAGCGCCGAAGGTTTGCTACCCGCATTATTGACTGTCTTTTCAACACAGTGACAGGCAAAAAGATCGCCCTATTGGGATTTGCTTTCAAAAAGGACACCGGAGACACAAGGTAACTATATTACTTTTAATGCACTTTGCAATTTATTTAGGGTTACCATATGTTGCAAACCAAATCAAGGGACACATATTAAAAAAATCAACACACCACAATTCCTGATGCTGGTAAGTACTGGAGAAGCTCGTTGGATTAATGGCTATATTTCTCTGATGAGTATATCTGTTTTAGAATTTTATTAATCTTACTCAGTTTGTTGCTGAACTCAAGACAGGGCAAATATGGCCAGGTACACAATTCCTCATCCGGGGACTGTCCTCAGAAATTCAGGACAAATGGTTACCCTAATTTATGTATCAATCGAAAGCCGTATGTGTAACACAGGGAATGCTTTCATGCACTTGGACTTGTCTCCAAAAATGTATAAGTGGCAGATCTTTAGATTTTCACGTGTAATAGCAGAATGGAGAATATTACAAAAAGGGCCTTGCAGTCCATTATGTTTTTATTGTGTTTCTATTGTTATCCACTATTGGTTTTCTCCTCATGAGCCACCTAATCTCATTCCACTCTCAAAAAGTCTGCAAAGTCTCCCAATTTCCTCCCCGTCACCTTTAATGTTTTTCAAACAACAGAGGAAATAATCAAATTCATGTCTCATAAACCAACCCACTATGCCAACTGAATTCTCCTTTTTAAAAATATAACATGAATTTATTGTCAAATTTGTATCTGCTAATTTCATGTAGACTTTACTGATAAAAGTGATGACAGATGGGAATCAGCAGGAAGTCAGAAAATAAATGGTTAAGTGTTTAAATTGTTTTAATAAGTATATTAAGCTGTGTGTGACAGGTGAGAAACTGACAAAAATTACCAGAGCAGCTCAATTCTACCTTGTTTGTGGTCGATCTTTTAGCTAATGATGACTTTCCTTTATTTTATAGGGAGTCGTCCAGTATTTATATCAGCAAATATTTACTGGATGAAGGTGCTAAGCTCCACATCTATGACCCAAAAGTACCCAAAGAACAGATCATTCAAGACCTGTCACAGCCCAACATCTCTCATGATCTCCCTGATCAAGGTATAACATGACCTTGACAATGTATCATCATTACTCTCCATGTATATAGCGTACAGAACTAAACATTGAACTTGGTTGGTGGACGCTCTATCAGCTTGAATACTTATTGGAATGACTATCTTTTATAAAAGACAAATCCTTCCAGAATATGCAGCTAAAATCCCAACCTATTAATTGCAGGAACCGTATTCCCATTTGGGAAAGCAAGTGATTCTAGCTGCTGTACAGTGTTAAAACCAACATCTAACTTCCCTACTTCAGTAACAATCATAGGGGAAATTTACGTGGTAGTGGTAGTAGTGGGGAAAAATAAGTATCGCCGTTAACTAACTACCTTCTGTAAAATGGTATGTTTTCTCCTCTCCCCTCAGTCACTGTATCAGTTATATGTCTTTTATTATGTTTGCATGCAAATACACAGTTACTACACTTTATAGTCAATCTTGTGAAGCGCTTTGAGATGTCTTGACAATGCGATAAGGCTCTGTATCAAATATAAGGATTATTATATTACTAGCTGTATCTGTTGCAGCTACGCTTGCTTGCAGAGTATAGCTGTTTCCTGTATCAGTCATTTATGTGTTATTTGCGTGTCTAACCTATAATCGAAATGTCACATCATGACATTATGTTTTTATTGACAGTAGTGCAGAAATAACCTCTTGCAAAGCAGGGTGCCAAGTAGTCCTCCCTACTTTGTGAATTTTATTCAAGATTTTAGTATCTTCCTTCTTTGTTCACAAGCTTTAAACTTTGCAATTCAGACACCATGAGAAATCTGTCACAACAATTATTTGCAGAATATCATGACACACTCCGGTGCAGTGCATCCATAGTTGGAGGTAGCACAATTAAGATAAATCTTTTTGCTTCCAAATTTGCAGTGTCGTGTTTGGTCACTGTATGCACTGATGCATATGAAGCCTGTAAAGGATCACACGCTATCATTATCTGCACTGAGTGGGATGAGTTCCAGGTAAGAGGAAATCCAATCAAAGTTGAGGAATTAATCACAACTTCCTCGCAGCATCCTGAACAGGCCTCAGAGAAATATAGCGAAAGCTGCAAAAAACACACCTCTAAAAAAAATCCAGGAATTAAACTTAAATTGTTCACTGAATTGATGACTGTTTGTGGACACTGCTGTGTGCAATTGGTTGCTGCATTTTGCCCACAAAATATACCGTCAATTCACTTTACAGTATATTCTGTGAAGCGCTATGAGACATCTTAAAGACGTGATAAGGTGCTGTACCAAATGCAAGGATTATTATTATCAGCATCTGGAATACATTGGAGTAGACAGGTTGAACACTGGAGCCTATCTACTCAACGAAATAAACAAACCCTCATTAATATTTTTAAAACTTTCTTAAATAGGACCGTAATTGAGGACTGGATGAGGAATATCGTAGCTTAGTTTTCAAAACAGGAATGAGATGGAAATCAGAGAATTCCAAATCAGTTATTCCAACATTAGATCTATTCTGGATGAGGCTATTGCTGGGAGATAATGCTAAGAGATATGGTGCTTTTTTGTTCATGAGAAATCTATATGGAGGACCATGACCCACAGTGAAGGATCCCACTAAGGCTAAGGGAGAAAATTAGATCTATCAAGAAACAGTGGTTAGAAGATGCTTAACATGCTTTAAAAACTACTGGACGATCCTGTTATAACAACAACTTGCATTTATATAGTGCAGGATAGCATCCCAGAGCGCTTTATAAGGCAGTAGTCGGGGTCCATGAAACTCCAGCACATCTTTTAAGGAAATGGACCCACATTAGTATTAAAAAAAGCACTTTGCTGGGGTATTGCAGACTATTTTGCAAACAAAAAAGATCATTTGTGATTGGACTTTGTTTTATCTATGTTTGTTTTTCTAGGTGCTGGATTATGGAGTTATATATAAGAACATGTTAAAACCAGCTTTTGTGTTTGATGGTAGACGTGTTCTAGATGGCCTGCATTCGAAACTTCAGAAGCTGGGATTCCAGGTACAAAGGGCTTTATTATCCTTCAGGAAGGAATGTAGTTCTACACTATATTTATACAAGATAGATATTCAACATAATGGATGTGCTGGGTGACTTGTAAAGGATTTAAGTATCTGGGAATTTGAGTTCAGAGTATCCCGTATCACCAGTGACAAATGTTTATTTGTGTGATTTTTAGATCGAAACTATTGGCAAGAAGGTGGCTGGACAGGGAGTTCCTTTCACATCCAGGGCAGAAGTTGCTAAACTGAGTTTACAGGAACCTCCACCAAAGAAAATCAAGGTGTAAAATTTTGGATGAATTATGTCTATGTGTCTTTTTTAATGAAAGCAAAATTATGTGAAAGTTCCACAGAAGGAACATCAACATTCATACCTAACGATTAATGAACAAAATCACAAAAAAATCATTTTTATGAAGGTAACTCTATGGTGCAGAAAGATGTTTTCACAATCTTACCCACCACAGTTTAATGTCAGCTGCACAGATGTTTGCTTGTAATGGTTCATCTTAAGTATCAAGCAGGACGATTTTGTGTAGCTAGTAACCAGGTTGATCTTGTAACCACTGAGAAATGGAGACAGAAGAGGAATTCTACCATCTTGTGGTTAGTAAAACGTCTCTCAAATTTCAGGAAATGTGCAATTCACAGGGAACATGTAACAATCACGTATAAAATTGAATATCAACTCTTTTTGTCATGTCTTATTTGTGGTAGACATCAATGTTAAATAAATCTCAATACTCTTTATAACCAAATAATTAAATGTGTCATTTGTTTAGTCATAGGAACGAAAAATTAACATGCATTGTAAACGCAAATTTACGTGATTTTCAGCAGAGAGAACATTAGTTAGGCTGCTTTGAAACTTGGGACTTAGTGGTGAAAAGGTATCAAGCCAGGCAGATGTTTTCACTTTTATTTTGAACTACATTTGACTGAAGTTTCAAGAAAATATTGTAAAATTGCTCCATTCGCCAGTTGAACACCCTTGAACATCCAGTGTGATCGAATTAAAGTTTTCGTCGATTGTAATAGATTGACAAAGTTGATCTAGTTAAATTGTTCATTATGATAGAGGTTCACATATACCAGGAGACAAATAATAATGTTGGAAATGAGGAAGCAAGAAGCAGTTAGGCAGAATATATTTTTGCACAAAGGATGACAGATGATCAGGGAAGGTAAAATTGAATGAACAGCTCAAGTGGCAAACGAGATCTTTTTGTAACAAGATTACAGGAGAGGTTTAGATTAAGGATGCCTTCCTTGTGTCTGGAATGGAAAATGCACTCTCTCCTCGGAGGGACGCACCCTGCTTATAATAATAATAATAATAATAATAATAATAATAATAATCCTTGCATTTGATATAGCGCTTTTCACGTCGGGAGGACGTCCCAAAGCGCTTCACAGAACACACTGTAAAGTGAATTGACTGTATATTTGTGGGCGAACGCGGCAGCCAATTGCGCACAGCAATGTCCCACAAACAGTCGTAGATTGAAAATGACCAATTTATTATTGTTTTTGGTTTTGGAGGGATTATTATCAGGCTCTGTGTGGAGTAAGGAAACTTGCCCAAGGTTTCGCCCTGCCTGGAATTGAACTCAGGTCTCCCGCTTGCAAAGCGAGTGCTCTAACCACTGAGCTACAGGACTCCATGCCTAATACTTAGTGTATTAGGCATGTGTCGGCAAAAGCAAAGGCTAGGGAACCCCAGAGCGTTTCTTTAGGGCACTGCTGGAGCATCTCTGGAGTACCCCAGCAGTCAATCCGAGGTGAGAGTGCATATTCCATTCCAAACACGGGAATTGCCATGTGTGGGTAGCATCCATGGAACGCTTATCTGGTTTGGATACTCTTTAAACGTGATAATAATAATAATAATCCTTGCATTTGATATAGCGCTTTTCACGTCGGGAGGACGTCCCAAAGCGCTTCACAGAATAGACTGTAAAGTGAATTGACTGTATATTTGTGGGCAAACGCGGCAGCCAATTGCGCACAGCAATGTCCCACAAACAGTCGTGAATTGAATTGTGATGATGGATTTCTGCATTTGTCAGACACCCACCATCCACGTCAGGACATCTCAAAGGGCTTGAAGTACTGCTGGAGTTTAATCAGGTAAAATCACATAACATTGGAAGCATTGTCTGGCAAGCTTCCCGCTGCTTGTCCAACTAGGATCAAGCTACCTTTTAGGGCTTTGGTTAACAGGAGCTGAGTGGGACAAAATCCCAACCTCCCAGTGACTGATCTGTCGGAGTCTTGCTGATGATCCAGGCTGGCTGGTCTGTCGTCAGCAGTGCCTTTGAATACTGAGGACCCGCATGGCTCAGGAACTGGACTACTGAGCCCACCACAGAGGATTGACCCAATTCTAACACTGCGATAAGAAGCATGTCACTAGTCTAGCTCCAAAAAGACCCCACTTACCCTCCTCCCTCCAACTCCAAAGAGGATTGTCACTAGTTGGTCACTTGACGACTGACAAGCACAGGTTTAAGTCTCACTAAGTGGACTGAACTTCCTGCAAGCTTCCAAGTAAGCAGCACGGCTCAGTGTGAAATGCCAGCATTGCGCTATATCAAATACAAGGATTATTACAACAAAATTATATTTGTAAAGCGCTTTTCACATCGGGAGGATGCTCCAAGGCGCTGCACAGTCAGTATTTCGGACCCAAGCTGGGGTTTGGATTGGGGAGGGCAGGGGGAGGGGAGTAAGGACGGTGATCAAAGGTACGGTCGAAGAGGAGGGTTTTGAGATGGGTCTTGAAAGAGGCAAGGGAGGGTGCGGGGCAGAGGAACTGCGGGATGGAGTTCCAGAGGGTAGGGGTAGAGTGGCTAAAGCCCTGCCCGCCTATGACTCTACAATGACTATGTAGTTCCATTGTATTCAAATATTCTCTCACTCGCAACACTTTCTTCTGGTTGAAGCTTGTAATATAGTAGTTCATTATTTTAATCTGTAGGAAGGTTATCAGGTGTACACGTACTTGACACCTGGAATACCACACAAGTGCAACATTTAATTAACCAGTGTACATCTGAAAAGTTACTGCCATTTTGTTACCCACCGCATAAAGAATTTGTCAAACGTAATACTGTACAAATGAGTCAGTCAAACTCTAATTTCAATAAGTATAGTTGGAGACAGATCTTCTTTTCGCTCAGGCACCAGATAAGATTTAGGTCAGTATACTGTAAATTAAGCAGTCTAGCATTCTATTTCCCTTTTTTCACCCAGAAAGTCCTTTTCATCAAATTTATTTTAAACTTGTAGCTATTAATCCCTACTTCCAAATTTCTAAAACTAACTTAATCAACTTGTACAGTTATTGAAAACAATTCACTTTTTGTGTCCAAGTCACAGAACGTGTGTATGTAGAATGCTGGCTTGTCATTAAACTAACTCCCGTAGGACGAGTACATATACTCACTATATTCACTGACCAAATCAAAGTCTTCCTCAACTTGTGCAAGTACCAGTTAAAAAGCACTAAATGTTTTGTGGAATGCAAATGATGAATGATTTGTAGTTTTGGTTTTAAAAAGTGTATTTCCTCAGGAGAATCTGTAAGAAATAGGTTCAACTTGGTTCAAGCAGCCTGTCAGCTATATCACAACAAGTGGTTAATAAGTAATGTCTTTCTTCATTAAAATAAGTTGCAATATTCAGGGAAAAATATCACTGATTTAATAGAAGCTCCTTGATGCAGGCAGTCAGTTTTCTGAGTTGTCTAATTCACTTCAGCTTGTCGGCTGTGTAGAAGTTTCTTCAAGAAGTATTCACCTGAACAAAAAAAATTGAAAGGAAGGATTTAGAACAACAGTTAATTATTTTATTTAACACTGAGTTTTATTTTACACGTGTATTGTCTGTATTTTTCTCCCATTTCCCTTCTTTTATTCTTTTCAGTCAGGCTAAGATACTCTGGATAGGAATGTGAGTATCAAACCATGTTCATTGTGATTGGACAAACAGAAGTGACGACCTCTTTCCCACCCATCTCTCCAGATGATTCAGTTTGGGTTTGTGACTGAAACCAGCTAAGGTTACAATTAAAAAACAAAACTGAATCACCTGGAGAGATGGACAGGAAAGAAATATGTATGCAAACAGGACAGCCATTTTGCAGTACATTTCTTTTTCCTCTGCTCATCAAGCTCCCACAAGCAGCCATGAGGTGAACAACCAACTAATCTGGAGGATTGTTGACCAGAACACTAGGATAAACTCCCTTTCTTTTCATGGGATCTTTAACAGTCACTTGAAGGGCAGACAGACAAGACCTTGATTTAACATCCTACTAACGGACAGCACTTGCAGTCACAATGCAGACATTCTCTCTGTGTTGCACTGTACTAATTGTTAGGACCTAAAGACCCGATGTGGGACTTGAACCCATAACCTTCTAATCCAGAGACCAGAGTGCTATCAATGAGCAAAGCTGATAGTGAGAAGTACAAGGCTAAAGACTAGTTTATTTCACAACTAAGGAAGAACTGACAACTTACTATGACACCCCCACTCTAGTTATTCAAACATTAGGAATCAAATTTTGTAATATTTGAAGGAGATCATTTTATTTATTCATGAGTACCTCAATCTAGAGTCATAGAGTCCTCACTGATAAAAATACAGTAGAATTGTGCAGCTCCTTTTATTTTAACAGGTAGTAGTTTAACAAGGTTTTCTCCTTGCTATCTGAGCATGATGTCGCAACAATAACTTTCTGATAAAACAACCAGCTTCTCTGACGATTAGCCACAGTTAGTGATGAAACTATTGTAATAAAGATTCGTTTAAAAAAATAAGACAACTCAGAGAAAATTAATAACTGGCACATGTCCTCACTTTAGACTCCCTCAGTCATTAAAAGATTACGCAATATAGATATAAAGCATTCAATGTTGACCTTAGGAGCCTTTTAAATTGTTTTCCCTCAAATTACTTATACAGTATATTAGTGAACGTATTCTATCTATACAGTTTGACTTTCTGTAAATATCTGGCTCCTTACCTGCTTTATATGACGAGCGTACCAGGGGCCCACTTGCTGTGTACAGAAATCCCAGCTCATTTCCAACAGTTTCCCAATACTGAAACTTCTCTGGAGTTACATACTCTTCAACCTACAAAAAATGAACAGATATTGATGCATAAAAAGAATAATCTGACCAGATTTAAGAACTAGCTGAAAAAGAATTTCAGACATTAAAACTTACACTGGATAATAATAATAATCGGATGAAATCATTGGGTTCTGTGTGTTTCCAATTTATACAAATTATCCAGGGGAACTCTGAATGAATCAGACCTCCTCTGGATTGGCATGAAATACCTTATTACTTGCAGCATTTATGTTTGACATTCAGAATCGCTATTTGCAAATCCGAATACTGCAATTTTGACTGCAGTCTGTTCATCTGCATTCTTTACATCCAACAATGAAAGTATAGGTAAACGTAACCTCATAGTTTACAATTTCATGACACGCTATCCAGCTAGCACCATTTTAAGATGGTTCACAATGGTGAGGACATGTCTACATCTCCGTATCCCATTGGGTTAACAATGTTTTGGATTACTGCGGAAAAACATAGCCCGGGGCTGACAGAAAAACAAAAAGCTATCAATAGCGTGCACAATCCAGACAACTGAAGATAGTTCAAATAGGTCGCAAATGCCACAACAATTTACATTTGTGAAAGTGTCCAGTACAACTTTGCCCTTTCTCCCCTTTACCTTTAGATTTCGTTTTGTAGGTTGCATATACTGTCCCAACGTTAAACAGTCCACACCAGCCTCACGTAGTTCTGCACAAGAAAATAAAAGGGAAACCTTTGAACTTATTACTAGAGGACTCTGAGGTTTACAGTTTTAAAACGAAACATGTACTTTCCTTTATAGTTGGAGTAGTTTTTTTTAATCTTTGGTCTGAAATTCTGCATTTACCAAATTATTTGCTTGTCATTTTACTAGTTCATTTTGTGTCAATCTTAATGAGTGTCTGGTTAATTAGGAGCTCTTACTCAGCTATAAAACTGCTAGACAGACATTTTAAAATCAGGATAATCAGTAACTGGGAATTCTGGACACTGACCCCAGTAAAGCTACAGTTCAAAATGCAAATTGTAAAACCTGCAATCTGAAAGACAATTATCATAATAATAATAATCCTTGCATTTGATATAGCGCTTTTCACGTCGGGAGGACGTCCCAAAGCGCTTCACAGAATATACTGTAAAGTGAATTGACTGTATATTTGTGGGCGAACGCGGCAGCCAATTGCGCACAGCAATGTCCCACAAACAGTCGTAGATTGAAAATGACCAATTTATTATTGTTTTTGGAGGGATTATTAGTAGGCGTGTGGAGTAAGGAAACTTGCCCAAGGTTTCGCCCTCTGCCTGGAATTGAACCCAGGTGTCTTGCTTGCAAAGCAAGTGCAAGTGCTCTAACCACTGAGCTACAGGACTCCACGTAGACATAGACATTGAAGTACATGTGGGAAATAAAAGGCCTCCTTGTTGTAAAAATGTTTACAAAATGTTTCTATTGTAACTGAGAGCTGTTTATAGTTACAAACTAAATTAATCTCAGATGGATCTGGTGGAGTGTTGTTGTTTCCAGAGGTCCCACGTTGGAAGCCAGTGATTTATGCTTGAAATTCTGAGTGTCCAGAAAGGTGAGGGGAGAGAAAGATCAGGACAAAAGCTGATACTCTCAGTCGTGGCTTGCACATGAAAGGCTGGTGGAATAAGTAACAAAAATTGCAAATACCTAGGGTGCAATGCCCAAGCAAGCATTACAGCTTTAGGGAAGAAAGGGGAAAAAGGAAAAAACCTAGAGAAAGAAGGTTTAGATGAAAGTACCAGTGTTTGGAGTCAGCCTTTGACATTTCAATGAATTTGAGATTACTGAATACCAATTATTATATTTCAAGTTACTCACAATTACATAATGATCATTCTCTATAGAGGATATACCATTTTTATTAATTGACGGCTTCATAACTGAGCTGGAAAACAATAAATTGAAGTAAAAAAAAAGGAAGTCGCAGACTGTTCGTTTGGACAGTGAACGCTTGTTTCTCACCTTTCAGGGTTGAGTGTACTTCTTCATCAGTCTCACCCAATCCCAACATTATTGATGTTTTGGAAAGAAGATTAGGCTTCACTTTCTTGGCATGTTTCAGGACACTCAAAGATTGGTCAAAATTTGCTCGAGGATCACGAATCCTCCTGAAGTGAACACCAGTGAAATATTACATTTGAAAATACAGCGAGTTCATAGAAACTTCAATGATTCTAAATGTGAATACTTTAGATCATTGAAGTCCATTAGAATGCAAATGACACAATTTCTAACCTATTTCCTCATAATGACGAGATAATGTTTTATTTTTAAAGCGTTGGTTCATTTTCAAAGCACTCCCAGGTCAGATCCAGCAAAGCTTCTCTGCTTCTCTTCTCTTCAGGGTACCTTAAGTTCTACCTCAGAAGAACACCATCCAAAAAAGAATAACGTGGATAGTGACCCAATTTCACTATCACCCTTTAAAGAGCCCCTCTTTCAGAATTGTACAACACGTGCGTATAATGTTGCCAATCAGCAAGTTTCAAAGCCTAGATGTCCCTCAGTAGGTCATATGGAGACAAGTACTTTACCACTAAAGAGTGTGACATACAGTAACACTGCTAATAAATCCTCATAAGATCACAAGGAAACTCTCTCATTGTGTGATATTGAGCCAGACAGATTAAAAATGGTTTGATTGCTCATCTGTGAAAATTAGCTGATCTCAGGCAACGGCACTATATAGGACGTCATTTCCTGCCGATGGTGCAAAAAGAATAGTTTCTCGCTTTACTGAGATCCTGTGGCCAACGCTGGAAGAGCATGTGGAGCTGCCAGATACAGTTTCTGGTTGTCATCACCAGATATGAAGTTTGACCTTCTCCATCTAAAAGCAGGCAGGGTGAAAGGCTGTGATGGCAGCTAGTGTGGGAATGGATGCAGAACTTTAAAATGAAGGGTTAGTGTAATTTCACAAAATTAAAAATTCACCTCTGCAGCTCCCGGACAGTCTCCACATTATGTGCATACACATCAAGCCCTGAAACCGCAATTTTTTCAACTGCTTTTAGATCACCTCTGAAGTCAGGGGTCAAGCATTCCACCATAATCTTGGGATTTCTGCAGAAACAATTACAAGCTGATATGAAAGAGATTCAATGGCTGAAAATGTAAAATCTAAAATGATAAACAACAACAACAACAACAAGATTCCATTTATAGAGCGCCTTTCACGTCAGGAGGACGTCCCAAGGCGCTGCACAGTTGGGTCATGACCCGAGCAGGGGGGAAATGGTCAGGGTGAGGGGAGGGAAGGGAGGGTGCGAGGAGGGGGGAAATGGTCAGGGTGAGGGGAGGGAAGGGAGGGAGAGAGGAGGGGGAAATGGTCAGGGTGAGGGGAGCGAAGGGAGGGAGCGAGGAGGAGGAAGAGAGTCGAGAGGGGAGCTGAAGGCTCGGTCAAAGAGAAAGGTTTTGAGACCGGCCTTGAAGGAGGAAAGGGAGGAGGCGGCGAAGGCACTGGGGGATGGAGTTCCAGAGCCTCGGGGGCTGAGAGGCTGAAGGCCCGACCACCGATGGTAGGGCGGTTAGGGTGGGGGTGTGGAGCAGACCGGAGTCAGAGGAACGGAGAGTACGGGCAGGTAGGTAGGGGGATAGTAGGTTGGAGAGGTAGGAGGGAGCAAGGCCGTGAATGGCCTTGTAGGTGAGGATGAGGATCTTGAAATCAATCCTCTGGGGGATGGGGAGCCAGTGGAGGCGAGCGAGGGTGGGAGTGATGTGGTCGCGAAGCCTGGTGCGGGACAGTACACGAGCTGCAGAGTTCTGAATGACCTGCAGCTTGTGGAGGGAGGTGGCGGGAAGGCCGGCGAGGAGAGAGTTCCCATAGTCCAGCCTTGAGGTGACAAAGGCGTGAACCAGGGTTTCAGCAGCGTGAGGGGTGAGGTAGTGCCGTAATCTGGCGATATTCCGGAGGTGATGGAAGGCGGTGCCAGTTGTGGTGCGGATGTGAGGGAGAAAGGACAGCTCAGGGTCGAACAAAACGCCGAGGTTCCTGACTGGCTTTGAGAGGTGGAGAGTGCAGCCTTGGATGCTGATGGTGTCAGCGCCTGAGGTGCGGAGGCGCTGACGTGAGCCAATCAGGAGGGCCTCGGTTTTTCGCACGTTGAGCTGAAGAAAGTTGTCTCTCGTCCAGGACTCGATGTCGGACAGGCAGCTGTCAGGACATCGGTGGTCGTGGAGTTGAGAGTAGAGGAGGAAAGGTAGAGTTGGGTGTCATCCGCATACATGTGGAAGTTAACCCCATGTTTGCGGATGATGTCACCAAGGGGGAGCATATAGAGGGTGAAGAGGAGGGGACCGAGGACAGAGCCCTGAGGGACACCACATGAGACAGTACGGGGGGTGGAGGAGAAGCCATTCGTTGAGACGAAGTGAAGACGGTGGGAAAGGTAAGAGCTAAACCATTCAAGGACAGTGCCTTGAAGGTTGAGGTGGGAGGACAAGCGGTGGAGTAGGATAGCGTGGTCGACCGTATCGAATGCTGCCGATAGGTCGAGGAGGACGAGGAGACAGAGGGAGCCCTGGTCACAGATGGTCAGGATATCATTGGTGACCTTGACCAGGGCAGTTTCTGTGCTATGAGCAGCACGGAAACCTGACTGAAGGGGTTCAAAAAGAGAATGGGTGGAGAGGAAAGAGCGCAGTTGGGAGGCGACAACTCTTTCCAAGACCTTGGAGAGAAAGGGGAGGTTGGAGATGGGCCGGTAGCTTGATAGCTGCGACGCATCAAGGGAGGGTTTTTTCAGGGTGGGCGTGATGGTGGCAGTTTTTAATGGAATGGGGACAGAGCCAGAGGAGAGGGACAGATAAAGGATGCAATAAATACAACATTTTCAGGAAAAAATAGTGGAAGAAAGGGCAACACAAGATTTGAAGGAAATGGAGCTGAAAATGTAATATTTGTAAATAAAGTTGCTAGTTTGCGACTGAAAAGAAAAGATTTGATAATTGGAGAAAATATTTATGAATACAGTTGACGATTTGGTATCAGTCATTTATTCAGCCAAGGAAAGGGACAAATAAAAGGTCAGAAAGCAAAGTGCTAGCTTCAAGATGGCTTTTGCCAACCATCGTGTCCACAATCTTCCTCCTTTTTTNAATAAAGAGAATTTGGTAGACAAATCGCAATTTCAATCACAAACTGAAATTGCTATTAGCGTAGCAATTCCGGTTTGCAAATATCACATTTGGAATCCCAGTGTGTTACAGCAAGTTCCAGTGCTACTGCTGTTGGTATCCCGTTAAAGCAGAAGTTTTTCTATAAGTATTCCAATTTGGCTAGACACATTTTTTGATTATCATTCATGGATAGAAAGGTTTTCCTTTGAAGTCATTCTTACAAATAACTTACATTAAATTGCTTTACCTTTCTTTTAATTGCAATACTGTCTTTGCAAAGTGCTCTGCTCCACCATCTAAAAGATCTGTGGAAAAGCAACAAATCATATGAGAGCAGTTATAGCCATAAACCCAATAGTGCTCTATTGATAGATTCCTTCCCCCTCAAACAATACCTCAATACAACATGGATACCTTTATCTTCCCGTAGTTATAATTAACATTTACAAAACATCAAGTCAACATGTGCACGAAAGAATTTACTGTGAAGCCAATTTGTACAAAGCAATGTCCCACAAACATCCATGAAGTGAATGACTTTTTTTTAAATTTGGGGATATGAAGCCAGAAAACCAGGATAAATTTCCTTCTCTTTTCAAATACTGTAGTGCCATAGGCTCTTTACTCTACCTGAGCAGGCAGCCTGGACTGGTTAATATTTCATCTAAGGGATGTCACCTCCAAAAATGCAGCATGCAAAAATGTACTGGATTGGAGTGTCATTTGTGAATTTAAGACCCAATGTGTTGGTGGTGAAAAGGAGCAAGGATAGAGCCGGATGGTTCTTCACAATTGATTGAGCGGGGACAGGAGATGCCATTTGAAGAGACAAACAAAATGCTGGGACAGATAAGAGTTGGCATCCTTAATGGATTTTACACAATCTGAAGCACTCTTAAGAACACAAGATTGCTTGAGTGCCACCGTGGGAAAGGCAGAGGATGTAAAGAGAAAAGGGAACATTCTGCACCTAAGTGAGATGTATATTATCTGCCCTGTATAAATCCCGTGGCCTGGATCATCTTTTGATATGTTCATGTTTTAAAGGTGTTGAATATATTTCACTTTGTGGTGAAGTTCAAAACAACTATTATTAACTGCTTTATCTGTTCCAGGCATGTCAGAGAAATTCATTGTAAAAGTGATTTAAATAGTTTTAATAGAACCTGTAATTTTGTTTTTTCTGCAAGAAGCTTTGGATGTTTCTTCTTTCAAAACTGTGAACGCCAAATGGTTTGACAATCATAATAATAATAATCCTTGCATTTGACATAGCGCCTTATCACACCATTGAGATGTCTGAAAGCGCTTCAGCGAATGCGTTGTAAAGTGAATGGACCATGTATTTTATGGGCGAAACACTAAATAACAAATAGCAGTGGCAAGACAGTGAAGAGAAAACCCCATCTCACCATCTCGGTCCACAGAGGTCAGTACGACATAATCCAGGCCCCAATCTGCTATTGCTTTTGCTGTGTTGTATGGTTCATCTGGATCTAGTGGCTGAGGTTTTCTACTGGTCTTTACAGAACAGAAGTTACAGCCTCTGGTACAGCTGTCACCCATCAGCTGATGAGAAAAAACAAGATGTAAATAAGCATGAAAGGAAACTGTAAAGTGAAACCTTTATAGTAAATATCAAAACACAAGAGGAGGGGATGGATCATATTTTCAAAATGCAACACTATAAAACGTCAAAGTACATTTGGCAAAGATTCCACATGATATTTTGAGTTTTCTTTAAAAAATTACATTAAAAATATTTCAGCAGATTCCAACATCCATTCCATCAAAAAAACCTGAAACTATAAACTCTTAGCCCTGAAATTCCACTTAGACACAACTATATGATCATCTGGTTTTAAATTTAAGAGTGAGCAGCATTGTAGAAAGTTTTTAAAGTCATTTCTAATTTGGATGCAGGTTCTTTTTAAGAGCCATGGAAAACCATTTTTCAAATTAAAATTGTTCTAATCTCACAATATTCATCTTGTTACCATTTCCCAACGCAAAACCTTAAGAATTGCAGAACATTTATACATATTTCTTAATTCATACTTTGCATACTTAATATACATAAGTTAAAACTTTATCATATATATACATTTTTAAAACTTGCAGCCTTGTCCAATATCCTACCCAACCTGCTGCTGGGTCTCTGTTAGCATTGCTTATTAGTGATCACTGAAGGTACATCAAAATAGAATGGCCCAATATCCCTTTTCAAGGAAAGCAGCTCATCTCTTGACATCTCGGGCAAAATCAAACCTATTATGATTTGATAGAATTGTTTTGTCCTGTTTCTCATTCACCCTTCTGAAATAGCAGAAGGACGAGTGAGAAACACGACAAAACAACACCTAAAGCACTGATGCAGTATTTCAACAAGAAGTTGCACTTATACAGCACCCTCCACGCAGAGTAGAGTCTCAGAGCGCTTAACAGTGGCAAAGCCTGACTCCGAGCCGGGGGGCAAGTGGCCGTAAGCACTGTCGAAGAGGAAGGTTTTCAGACGGGACTTGAAAAAGGGGAGGGGGCAAGGTGGAGGGATGAGAGAGAGCGTTTCAGAATTTGGGGGCCCAGTGGCTGAAAGCGCAACCTCCGATGGTGGGGTGGAGGGTCCAAGGGACGAGCAGGAGGCCGGTGCCAGTCGAGCGGAGGCGCCGGGTGGTGGATTGGGAAGTGAGGAGGTCGGAGAGGTAGGGAGGAGCCAGGGAGCGAAGGGATTTGAACACAAGTGTGAGCATCTTGAAGTCGATCCATTCGGTGATGGGGAGCCAGTGGAGCCTGGCCAGGACTGGTGAGGAGGTGTGGGTACGGAGTTTGGTCCGGGTCAGTATGCGGGCGGCAGATTTCTGAATTTAACTGGGTTCCAAATGCTGCACTCCTTCATAAGGTATCCAGAGCTCTGGTTTTATTTCTTAATTGGAGAATAGTTAAAGTGCAGCTCTACTATAACATGTTTCTCTATACCGAAAATTCAGTTATAACACGTTTGCAATGTGAACCCCACATATGAGGGGTGTGCACATCTCTGCCAGCTCTAGTGCTTAAAGGGCTGACAGGATCATTAAGTTGCCACTGGTATCACTTACTGTTTTGCCCATATTCAGCACAGTCAGTGATGTCGGGGGTAACCTGATGACCTAGAAATGGGCCTTTTTTGTAAAAAAAAACACAGGCAAACATCTGGTTAGTAGGAAGCAGACCAGTCAGCCATGCACATATACAGCGAAAGTGGTATCGTAACTTGTGAAAGCACAGGTTTGGGATTTTACAGCATTTATAATGATCTTTATTGTATCCACTTTCAAAATTTGGAGCAACATGACAGTGTTATATTATTTAACACCATTTCAATACCATTATTTTGTACTCAGATTTAGCCCAGAACATATTTTCACATATTGTCATGTTACCTAGCAGAGGAAAGAATTCCCTTCTTTCACTACCCACATACACTTTCTTGCAGATCTACCACAAAATTGCACTGACAACAACTGTAAAAAAAAGTCCAAAGGAATCGTGTGGATTCTGGGTGAGGGGGTAAAGGAACAGTTATCAGACTTCAGTACATATTCTAGTTCATTCACAACTAGAATAAATCTCAGAACTTACCATAATGGTTGCTGTTGCAGTGGCATACTCTCCCCCTCCCCAGCATTCGCCAATATTTGGACATCTTGCTTCTTCACACACCTGCAAAAGATAACCTAAATTAAACAACAAAGCATTCAGTAAATGTTGGTTAATAAAGGGCCACCAAGGTGCATTATTATACAGAACTCGGACCTGCTACTCAGATTGTCTACGACTGAATGCCACCCTGCATTGGCTGTCAAATTTGATTGAAACGCACAACACGTCTTTAATAAGGAAGTTTGTAATTATCATAAATCGAATATGATTACAGAATAAGATAAAAGCAAATAAGGACTTGGTCTAAATTGTTAATGTAAGGCATTCCTATGGATAAAGATGAGGGAGTGATATAGGAGATACAAATAGGATTATTCAAACAAATTCTCAATAAGTACTTACAGTGTGAAGATTCAAATTCCGAATTGTATTCTTTAGTTTATTATAATTTTTCCCAATAGGAATCTCTCTCTTCAACCATGGAGGTAGTCGTAGTCTAGAAATGTAAAACATATTATTGCAAAAGTTGTCCTTAAATAATTTTAGAGAGGCACAATTTAGCAAAATTGTTACCCCACCACCTTGGGTTGAATAACATTGTACATGGGGGAGGAGGAAGAGAAGTAAAAGTATTAGATTTTTTTTAAAGAGCCTTCAAGCTACAGGAGATATACTTTCTTCAATTTGATGCGAATGTATATGTATATATATATGTATCAATAACAGATACTTCAATGAGGATTTCTTTAAATTATACATTTTAAGGGCAAGAAGGTGACACTGTGATTGTAACATGAATCCAGACAGATTTACAGGATAAAAGCTTTCTCTCTCTCTTCATGTTCAAACAAGATGAACAGAGAAATGAACTGCAAAGACATAGTTTCAAATCAGTTCTCAGGGGCCATGAGTTCACAACTTGAAACTGGTCATTACAGACAATCTCACTGAGCTCTCACAGAAATGATTGGTGTGAAAACAGGAAAACAAAATTCACACTCATTCTCTTCTCAAACTGCTGGTACATACTGCAGAGGCACAGCTTTCTTTTGGCTTGTGTTTTATACAGGGTGCCAAAGTGGAAGAATATTTTATTACCCTTTATTCTTCAATCTTAATAACAAAATGTCAATTCACTTTATAGTATATTATAATAATAACAATCCTTGCATTTGATATAGCTCTTTTATCACGTCTTTGAGACGTCACAAAGCGCTTCACGGAATATTGTAAAGTGAATTGACTGTATATTTTGTGGCTGAAATGCGACAGACAGTTGCACACAGCATTGTCCCACAAACAGTCATGTATTTATAATTTATAATTTTTTAAAAAATGAATTATTACCCCGGGAAAGCAATCCGCCAATCAACTAACAACTGTGTTCCTACTTACTGCTAGGTAAACAGAGCCGTGTGGAGTAAGGAAACTCGCTCAACATTTCGCCCTGTCGGGAATCAAACCTGGGTCTCTTGCTTGCAAAGCGAATGCTCTAACCACTGAGCTACAGTACTCTTCAATCTTGATGAACACAATATGTATCAATTCTTTTTAACACAAGTCTAGTAAAATACATGGAACCTTGCTTCAAAATAGTTTGCATGTTATCAGCAAGTACCAAACACTGAAATAATTTGATAAATATGAACATTCCCTTTTAATTTGCTCCTATTAATAAGTAATTTAAGGGCTATGGGAAAAAGGCAGAGAAATTAGATTGAATGATCTACTCTCATATAATAAAATTGTGAAAAAGGCTAATTGAGCTGAATACCTTGGGGTGAACTGACGACCTGGAAATCAACACACACGAATCCAAAATGGCTGCCTTCTGGCAACTTTAAAGTTAATCCCAATATCCCTACCCTCTAAATCATACCCCTTAATATCTCTACTACTCTTCGGATGGTACATTAAACTGAGGTCCTGTTCGGGTGGATGCTAAAGATCCCATGGCACTACTTGAAAAGAGAAGGGAGTTTCTCCTGGTGTTCTGTCCAACAAATTCCCCCCAAAAAAATTGGTCACTCACGCACGGGTTGTTTGGGGGACATCACTGTGCGCAAATTGGCTGCTGTGTTAACACACAAAATACACAGACAATCCACTGTATATTATATACATGTGAAGCGCTTTGAGATGCAACAATAAAGTGATAAGGCACAAAATGAAATGCAAAAATTATTATAATTATAGATGGGACCTTGATTTTAATTTCTCACCTGAAGGACTTTTTCTTTAGATACAGGTTAACATCTTCACCACATCACCATATTTAACTGTAATTTTACCAATTAGAATTAGCTGATTTAGTAAGATAAATAAAAATACTTTATTTTAAAATAACTAATCAAGTTTGTTCTGGGTACCTTTCTCCTTTTTGTCGCTTAAGGTTGCCTTTATATTCTTCCCACACCTTCTTGTCTGACAAATTACCATTTATAAACTCTCGCAGGTCAGGACCCACTTCCAGAAACTGTTTCTTTTCATCAGAAAGGGTACTGGAGGCTCTCAACGAGCTGCACGCGGGTACATTGTAGCTCTGAAATAAATAAATGCTATTAAGGGATTCTTAATAATAATAAAAATAATCCTTGCATTTGACATAGCGCCTTGCTACGTCGTTGAGAACTACATCCCGCAGTCCATCCGCCTCACCTCCTTTCCTTACCCCCTTTCAAGACCCTCCTCTTTGACCACGCCTTCGGTCACCCTCCTTCCCCTACTCTCCCCGCCTTCCCGGCCCTCCTGATCCCAATCACCAGCTCGGGTGCGGATCCCTGACTGTCCAGCGCTTTGAGACGTCCTTCTGATGTGAAAGCCACTTTTCAAATGTAATTAGTTGTCGTCGAATGGCGCTAAATAGATGCGAGTTATATTGTGTAATTCTAGTTGTTGTCTCACAAAGCTCGGCAGGCTATGTGTAGAGTTATGTTACTGTATTTTGCGGGTGAACATGGCAGCCAATATGTGCCCAACCCAGCAACGTCTCAAACAGACGATCATCAAAATATAATAATAATAATCCCTGCATTGGATATTGCGCTTTTCATGTCAGGAGGTTACGGTGAGGGGGGGTTACGGTGAGGG